CTAGCTGGTTTAATCATAAAACTGTACTGTGGTTCCCCCCAAACTCAACCTTAACAATATTAGTCTACTAGAAATTGGAATGTGAATGTAAATTTTAAAAACAAAAACCGATTTTAAAATGGCTGACAATCGGATATTTGTTAAGAATGGCGGATTCCTGTGTCCGACTTAATATGAACTACCAATATACCAATTCCGACCGGGTCTCCAATATTAGTCGTCTCACACGACCGAAATCATCAAACCGGACGACCGGCAATCGTATTATGACGTATATAATTCCAACGTACGCCACGTAACCTCACTTTGCGTATCAGTGATTTGTGGATTTGTGCAACTATATTTTAGTTTTTGTTTTCTCCTTAAAAAAAAGGGCAGCCACTTTTTTAAGATAGTATATATACAAAATTTAAAAGAATTGGAACCAGTACCTCACATGTGGGAGGAGGATGGGGTCCGCTGGTTTCCTAAGCTAAAAAATAAAATTAAGATGCACCAATGTAATGTAGCATCTCTTCCGGATAAAAAGCATTCGTGGGTGGAGGCAAGACATCACTACTACTATTATTATTTTATTTATTAGCTTTCTGTAAAATGTAGATGAATGTCTAAATGCCTTTTTAGTGTTTTTTAGGCATAATAAAAAATTAAGTTTGTTTACAAAACTTTTTTATTAGGTTATGTTCATGATGTTCATTAGGCCGCAAATGCTACTTAATGGGTTGTATTTACTGACGTAAACAGAGATACGTAAATTAGGTTATAAGTATGAACATAAAATACAACAAAATATAATTGGACGTTACTTTAGGGATTATCAGTGGGACGTATCCTATTCGGACAACGGGTAGACGTCGGGCTAGTTCAAGTATATGTACGTCGTGCAAGCCAACGTGGGAACGACGTTGAGAAATTAATAAAAATGGTACGTTGTTATTTTGTACGTCGACAGATCGTTGGATTTACCAACTCGGATCCAACGACGTCGCTTTTAATAGGAAAGCGACGTCGGTCATATCACCAGCACCCGACCTAAATTTGCACAAAGTCTGACGTCGCTTCAGGTCAGATTTAGTTCGAAGTCAGATAGATGCTACTTGGGTAACTGAGAGGGCAGTTATAAATAAACAGTACAGTTGACGCGCTAAAGTTCAAAATAAATTCTTAGTTATAAATCGTTTAGGAAAGCGACGTCGGTCATATCACCAGCACCCGACCTAAATTTGCACAAAGTCTGACGTCGCTTCAGGTCAGATTTAGTTCGAAGTCAGATAGATGCTACTTGGGTAACCGGACATCGGACTTTAACCGTAACATATATATGTAAATTTATATGGGAATTATGGGAAATGTAATCGATCGTCATTTCCCAGCCAAGTGGACGCCTTTTTTTTACGCCCTATTTTATTTATAATAGTTTCCGACTTATTCTAAATTTTTCAATTTTTTTGTAATTCACTTATGCTAAAACATCATATTTGTCTTGATGAAACAAAAATATAAAAATAAACAAATAAAAAAAAATAAAATGTAATAAGAGTTTTTATTTCTGTCATCGATACTATTTCGTTTCGGGCAATTTTTCGGGCTTTTCGGGTGATTTTTTTCGGCCAATTGTTTTCGGGTAATTCTCCTTCGGGCAATTTTTTCGGGCAATTTTCCTTGATCCACTTTACCCCACGACACGCCACTGGTAGAACGTATTGGTAATGCTCTATTTTCCAGAATGTCGCGCTGAAATCCATATCGTGCTGATATAATTTACGGCATTAGCGCTTTGTGTGTCTATTCTTTTATAAAGCAGATAAGGTGTGGTTAATAAAACCTTATTGACACTAATGACACACTAATGAGCCTATTATGTCATTATAATATCCAGGTATTTTTTTCATTATAGACTAATACGACCCAATATAATTTATCTTTTTTTTAACAAGAGATAAAAAAGAACGATATAGGTATTCAATCAATCCAGTTCTTTGGCGGCATTATGTTTATACAGGATGTCCCAGAAATAAGTATTTTAAGGGGTGGTAGATCTCGATAAAAGAAACATATTTTCTCTTTATCGTTCTTCAAATAAGTCCAAAATAACGGAGTTATTTTACTTTGAAAATTTAAAAAAAAAATGATTTTTTGCTAAAATTTTCAGAACCACTGTGGGCCGATCATCTCCATAAGAAAGAAATTGCTTTATTGTCATAAAAAAATTTTACAATTTTGTTGACAAAGCTTAAAAAAAAAAGAATATAAAAAACATACAAAACTTCACTTAACAATAGAAAAACATATAAAACTAACAGCAAACATACAAAACTAAAACAATACTTTATACAATTATAGAAATTGTACATTGTCAAAAATGTATTTAATTAAATATAAATAAAATATAAACATACATGTAAATAAACAACTGTATATAATGTCAATACCGAATTTAAATGGATAGAAAACAAAATCATTTCTTAAATTTAGTGAATGTGTGTTAAATTTAGAACCCTAGATATTAATAAAAAAAATCGTTAACCGCGTAAAAGGCTTTCTCCAGTAAGTATGATCTCAAGGCTCTGCGAAATGCAGGAAAGGATGAAATGGAATTAATTTCAGATGGCAGATGATAGTGCATTTTTTTTTGCATTGTACAATTGGGAACTCTTTACTAACTCAGAGTGAGGGGTTGGCAGATACATGTTATGCTCTGCGTTCCTAATTGGATAGCCATGAACTGGCTCTAGAGAAATACTCGATACGTGCTTGCGAACTAGGCAGACGGATTCGAGTATGAATAGGGAAGGAAGAGTTAATATTTTATATCTTCTAAACAAGTCCCGGCAGTGAGCACAACTGGTTAGCCTCAGTGAATATCGCACAGCTCTCTTTTGTAATTTGAAGATACGCTCAAATTGAGTCGCACAACACGCACCCCAGAATGGAAGTGCGTATCGGAGATGCGACTCATAAAGGGCATAATAGACTGTCCTAGATGTTGACAAATTAAGCACATTAGCAACTGATCTAAGTGCGAAACAGGCAGAACTTAATTTTTTAGCTAAAGCATCGATGTGCAAATCCCATTTTAAATAGTTGTCCACAACAAGGCCTAAAAATTTCACAGAATCAACGACGTCAATGGTGGTATTATCAAGTTGAAAAGGTAGCAACGTACTTTTATATGATAAGACTTTAGTTTTAGAGACGTTGAGACACAGATAATTAGAATCGCACCATGTTTTTATGTTGATTAAGTCACTGGAAATGGTTCTATGAAGTGCCGTGGTGTCCGGGCTGCTCCATGTGAAACAAGTATCATCCGCGAAGAGACAGATTTTACCACTGATGTCCAGACTAGCAATATCGTTGATAAACAACAGAAACAAAATAGGACCTAGCACTGAGCCCTGAGGTACTCCGCATTCTATTGGCTTGCAAGAAGACACAGTCTTATCAACCCTCACACGCTGGTTTCTGTTGTTAAGGTAGGACTTAAACCATTCAAGAGGCGTTCCCCTGATACCATAGTACTGCAATTTGTTAGTTAGGATGTTATGATTAACACAATCGAAAGCTTTCGAGAAATCACAGAAAATTGTTGCTGTAACGAGACGGTTGTTCAGACTGGAGACATTATTAAACAGCGAAAACATAGCGTCATTTGTACATTTGTTACTCAAGAACCCAAACTGAAAGGGGGTGAGTATTTTGTATTTTAGAAGAAATGATACAAGCCTCTTTTTAACCAGTCTCTCCATGATCTTCGATAACGTGGGAAGGAGTGCAATTGGACGATAGCATAAGAATGTATGCGATATCAGCATAAGAATGTATTGTTTTCACTTTTGCAACTAAATAGTCGGCCGGCTAAAAATTACATGTCAGTGCGTACCCTAATTATTCTTGAAAAACTCACAAGAGAAAGACAGAAAAATGCATGCCTTATTTAAAAATATGTAATACTTTTATTCAAATATGCGATAATTGTTTTGAGTAGTGTATTATCAAACACTTTTTTTTATAAAAATCTACCAATTTTATTTTTCAACGAATCAAATTGGCGTAAAGTACAGGGTGAGCTGAATAACTGCACATATTTTTAGAGAAGGTATATTTCGATTTCAGAAACTATGAGTTTTTTTTTCTCGTGACAAAAAAATGTTTAAAATTTTGTACTTCAAAAAATAAAATTATTATTTAAAAATAAAATTTATTCTTCAGTTAAAGACGTAATATCTTGATAATATGGCAACACAGGGAGGGAGCACAAACTCAGAAACTACCCAGTGGTTCTGAAAATTTAAACAAAAAATTTTTTTTTTTTAAATTTTCAATGTTAAAAAACTATCAGCAATTTTGGACTTATTTGAAAAACTTTATGAAAAAAGTATGTTTCATCTACCAGCCCTGAAAATATGTGCATTTGTGCATATTACTCACTCTATATATTTTCAAAAAAAAATACAGGGTGTTTCAAAAAACATGTGAGGGAGATTTCTCACTTAGAAATAAGATTTATTTTTCATATCAACATAGATCAGATTCGGCTTGGTTTCGTAGCTACAGGGTGTTAAAGTCTTAATAACCTTTAAATTTATTATAGTGTTCTTTGAAAGTTAATAATATTAAAAAAATTTAAAGTTTGGTATTAGACTTGGATCAAGGCAAATTAATAAAATTGCGTTTATCTCATCAAGGAGGCCAAAATTGACAAAATATCAAGAGACAACTTTTAATCGGCATTAAATTGGTTACATTATTTCGTCAACAAAATAAAAAAAAGTCAGTGGCATACATGCTTTTTTTAGAAAAATATTCCAACTTGAAAGAAAACTACAATAAATCAAAAAAATAATAAAATTTTAACACCCCGTAGCTACGATACAAAGCAGAATCGGACCTATGTTGACATGAAAAATAAATCTTATTTTTAAGTGAGGAATCTACCCACGATAGATGGCACATGTTTTTTGAAACACCTTGTATACTTATTATTAAAATAAACTTACAGAACTGTTTTAAACTTCTACTTTATACCATAACAGATGCACTTTTTCTACACTACATCATCGGGACCTTTGAAAAAAAAATCGCTTTCAACGCGTACAGGTGGTCGGAAAATTTGTCGGGAAACTCGCCGAATTTTCCGAGCGGTTTTCGCACGCTTTTCCTGGAGTGGGAAGCGGATTGCAGCGACGAGCGCGAACTAATGCTTTAACTTCGGTGAAACTTTTTGGCAAAGACTACAGCGCGCTCTGGCGATCCACTGCGCATCAAGTTGGCCGTGTTTAACGTTTTTCCTGTCAGGAAAATGCCCGTGTTTTGTCCAGAATAAGAAGGTATTTACTTATTATGTGCTGGACGGTGTTTTCCAAATTTTTTTGTGCCATTTCCCACGTAAACTTGAAATGATTAAAACTCTGAAAAATGTCAAAAAGATAAAATCTGTCCAGTTAAAGGTTGATTCTCACTATACGTTCCATATCAGCTCCCTTCCGTTTACATAAAATATTATAGATCATGTAAATGAATAAGACAATGCACACTATCCGTTCCGTTTCTCTTCCGTTCCCTATCCTTTCCTTCCATACATTTTTTGGCGGGCGGACTGAAGCGTATCGGAAACAGCGTTGTCAAGTTCTTACATTTGTACCAGCTCTGTTAAAATTTTGCTGATATCTATTCATCCTCTCACCTCTTAATTAAACGTATTACCTTTTTCAAAAGATACACATTTTTAAAATAAAACTTTCGTAATGATATAAATTGTAATACAATAAAAAGTATGAAACTGATACGGAACGGAAGCTTACGTATAGCGTCAATACAATAAAAATACGGGACGAATATGGAATGGATATGGAATGGAAACTGAAAATTGTCGGTCGTTCGTAGTGAGTTCTACGGGCCGGTACCATAGACAAACTAACAAAAGCAAGACTTGTCAAAGGATTGAGGAAGTCGAACTATTGTTTTTGCGCTGGCCAGTTGAGTCAGAAATCATCGCGCAGTCGCACTCGTCAAACCTAACCTAAATAAAACGAAAAACGTTTTTGCCTTGAACCATCCTTGAACGAACTGTTGAATTCCTGATTTTGCGTTTTGTTTGGTTATTACTATTATTTTATTAGCGTACAAAACGAAAATAAATAATTTAATACATTTTACATTTATGAAGAACATAATAATTACTATGATTATACATATTATTGTGATTACATCGCTAACGTAGACAAAACGAAGGTCCTACAAATTGACTGTAAGTTATAAGAATCTTTATCTTTTTAATCTTTTTATGATTTGAATTTTCGTGCTTTATATTTTATAATAGACTCGAAATGTTAATATTTTTGCAAATTCTTGTGAAAATGTGAAGTTTATGTTTTTGTTTTATATTTGAAAAAGTTTTATATTTTTAAGATGTTTCTTGTTGTTCCTATTATTAATATTATAATATACATAATTATTTTTTTGTACCTTTTGAAGAATAATGCTTTTATTTCGTTTACCATAACTGTTTTTTTTATCATCTTTTTTGTTATTTTAATAAGAGAAATACGTTTTCGTTTATTTAACTTTTGTTTTTATATCTGTTATGTCCAGAAATTATTGTTTATTTTACCGATGGAAATAAATTTATTTGATTTTAATAAACGCTTTTTAATTAAACATCCTTGTCTAAAAGGCTACTATAAAATACACAATCCATAAGTAAACCGTCCTCGTCTAAAAGGCCAGTTGACGCAAGCGCGGTAATAATCTCTTATCAAACTTGTTACCGTTTTGCAGTACAGCGTTGACGCGTCTTGCTTTTGTTAGTTTGTCTATGGCCGGTACCTATTTAGTGCGCCCCGAGCTTTAGGTGGTACGACACTGAAAAAACAAATCTATCGGCCCAAGGGCGAACGCACTTGAGCCAATTTCGCCATGCTCTTGATATATGCCAAATGCATGGTTCAATTGGGGTAATTTCAAGATGCATTTGGGATAAACGCTTTAGAATCGCTGGTTGCAAAGACTACAGCCTTATCTTGAAAGTATTGGAATTTGCATGACTTCATACCAAAATCTTCAAAGATCATTATCAAAACTCTGCGAATTTACGGCAGAAGCACTTCAACTTTGTTATGAAGTACTGCAAATTTGCGATAAAAGCACTTCGAATTTGTTATAAAACACTGCGAATTTGTGACAAAAGCACTTCGAATTTGTAACAACATAGTGAAGATTTGCGACAAAATCATTGCGAATTTGTAACAAAGGCACTGTGGTTTTTCTAAATAAAGCACTGAGAATTTGTTACAAAACACCCATAAAGCACATCAAATCACATTTACGATGTGTATACATTATTAGATGCAGACACAGGGTGACACAATTCCCTCGATGTAAATATGCTACGTTTACACATTGTAGTTCAACACGTATGCACAAAGGTTAAACGTCCGCCTCACAATGTAGCCACAGTATAGCATTTACGTATACACAAAGTAAGGGAAACACAGTGTGCCGTAGGATACACAGTGCTTGTGTTTAACTCTGTTTACACATTGCAGTTGTAACTTCCGCGTGTATACGTATGTATTTTGCTTCGTATATACATCTTGTGCTAGATAAAACTACTTCTTATGAACGAATTTAGGAAATAATACAAGTTTTGATGCCTAACTTTTCGTTCTTTTTAAGAATTATTTATCCAATGATCCCAATTATATCTTTTTAGAACGAAAATTAGGAAGGCAAAACTTTGTATTTTCCAAAAGAAAACACTGTAAAAGAACAGAATTTGTATCAAAATGTATTAAAAATATAAGTACCTAGTATAACAACATACTAAAATGGTAAACACTGGTATATCGCCACGATTTGGTGGACCTCGTTTAGTCATTTTTTCTCCTCTTTTCCTTCCAAGTAGTTGGTTTGGTAGCATACTCATTCATCGAGCACTCTGTTGGACTTTGTTGTATTTTATTTCCAGATTAACAATCTCACCCTTAAATTTTATATGAAACTGATTATTGAATATTAAACATATCTGTATATTGATCCATCAATAACTTACCGAATATCAGTGTAAGAAGTTCTTTGAAGTGTTTAAATCTTTCTTTCTCTGGTCCATTTAGATTTTTATTATTTCTAAATTAAAAAAAAATTATATTGCAGAGCTAACCTCTTTATCATTATACGAGAATATTTGGAGTTTTCATTCATTGGAGTCAAAATTTGGTAAATTGGGTATTGAGTACGGGAAGAGTCGCTACTATAATATTAATAATACACTTAGGAAGGTGTAACAAGGTAATTAAAAACTTGTGCTTACCTTTAAATCTCTTTTAAACTACACACAAATAGAATATTTATATAAGAAGTGTCTAGTCCTAGCAGTCAACTATTAAGCTTAACCAATCAGGTTGGTTAGCGTGGTTATTTGGAGTGTGTTAATTCATTTGTGTTTGTCAAAAACTCTAACGTGATTGGTCGGGCTTAACAGTTGCCTGCTAGGGCTAGACACAAGTAAATGAGCTTCCGAATGATAAAACAATAATGACTGCTAACACATACCACTGCTAGAAAGGAGAAAGGAGAGAGGACACATAAGATACACTTGGTCGGTGTATCTACGCTGAGGCTATCCGCGCGTGCGCACACCTTCATTTCATGCTAGAATGTAGACACAACAGTACACTATTACAAAGTGTCTATATAGATATTTATATTATGTGTATACGTCACATTTTTACAAGGTGTGTACTATAAGCACAACTATGATATACGAAGTATCACACATACATATGACTTATACATTGTATGTCTCATATACCGACGTCAGATTTCATCATTTTAATAATTATTTGTTACGTTACAAAAAACTCTTTAGAATCCTGTGTGCACACGGTATACAACTAGTAAACACGGTATCACACAATTCTATCAATATAAACCTGCGTGTATCTCATATGTATATGTTAGAACTAGATGAACACTTAGGTTCACTTTAACATATTTGGTTTTTCATGTGTCTCTCTTGTAGAAACGTAATTTCATTTCGACGTGCTGTATGGGCATACACGGTCAATTTTTCTTTCAAATATATTTGCAAATAAGTGTTATTTGAGTGTATGTGGCGTTATTTATACCTAATTAAGTACACAAAAATATCAATTATTTGCAGTAAATATATTTGAATTAAAAATTGACTTTGTATGGTTCGGGTTAGGGTAAATTTAAAAATAATACAAAATTTTGAAAATATTTTTATTGTTTATTTGGATGTATCTTTGTTTAACAAAAATAAAAATTTTTTTAAAGATAACTTATATATAAATATTTTAAGTTTGATATTTGAAATAAACAAAACTAATATATATCATTTACATCACTGTCTTCATCAAGTTGATGATGGCTGATGGATACTTCATTTATTACTTTCAGACATTCAATAGCTTCGATTAATTTGATTTTGTCCCCTAGAACATTATTTACTAGAATGCTCACTTCTTCTTGTGAAAGGCACTTTATTACATCGATTCCGTCGATATTTTGCTCTGCAAGAAAACAAAGCATATTTTACCAACAAGACATTGACAATACAAAATATGAACAAGAACTGATAAAAAAATTTGGCTCAATTGTAATGAAATATTTAGCATTTTTGCTACAAATGCTCGCGTATTTAACCTAAGGACACGAAGGATTTCAGTTGAAAAAAGATAGACGTCCATCACCAACTTATTGTCTGTAGTTCTTTCTGATGAAATCAGGAATTTTCCAAGATATTTATTTCTCTAAATAAATAAACTATAACCAACACAGTGCTATAATAATATTATTATACTGTGCTACCAAGGTGAATTTATGAAAAAATCATCTATATAACCCAATCGTAGGTCGCAGCTTTATATTGCATCATATTTTTTTAACATTCATGCCGTGATTGAATAGTCAAAAGTACAACCAACAATGGGTGAAATATGAAAAAAAAACAAAGTAAATAGTAAATGCTTCTTTGTACTCTCTTTGTTTGTTGTTTATAAACTGTGTATAAGTTTATTTCCAGGAATTTAAGCAAAACCTTTTACCACGTTATCTTTGTTCATTCCATTGTTTATTTGTTTTTATATAAATCCTCTTAGGAAATCATGCATAAACAAAATCAAACAACGCCCCATTGTATCTATACGTACCTTGAAATGTTGATAGCAAATGTTCTAGACGCCACTTGGCCAAAAATTCTTCCACGCTGCTCATATTTGTCGACAAAACACGCACCACTTGCTGGTTGTTCAAAGAGACCGATGATATAGTAATACTAATACCAACTAATACTAACACGCACGTAAAAGGTTGATCGCGTAACGATGCATATATAGGCAACAATGGATACTTATGCCAAGAGCGCTGACTTGCTACGAAAAGCATGGCTTTCAGCTGAAAAGTTTGACATTGGAGATAAAAGCATATAATTCCAATGAAAGGAGTATGTTGAATCCACGCCCCAAATTTGGCCCAAATGCAATAATTTTCTGCTAAAATCCGATTTGCCAAAAAGGCAGGGATTTTAATTTAAAACTCTTAAATCTGAAAGGCACAACAAGACAAATACATGGTGAATTTACCCCAACTGCAGTGGTTTTGTTTGGCACAAAAGCAGTGCTATTGAATTTAAGGAGTTTCCCTTGGCAAAAAAGCGAAAACGGCAAATGCGCGGAATCATTTGCCATTAAAGCATTAGTTTTTTTCAGTGGACAACCTTCTCAACATTTGCCAGGTTTTTGAAAAAAATGATATTTCTGTTGAAATAATGCTAATAAAAATCTTCTCTATCATTTTCTATACATTGTATCGCAGCAGATAAAGTAAAACCCAGCCCCTATACTAAACACGCCTTAATGTTTCTTTAGTAGGGCTGCCTTCGATTGCCATCGTACGTTATCTGGAACGATCCAGACTCAGACAGATCCAGATCTAGATTTCGCCTTTCCTATCTCATTCGATCGAAGGGAATCGAGAATTACGCAGGGAAAATTCAGAAAACGGCCTTATTGGCATTTCTGTCTCTTCGGAGCCATTTGAAGCGACTGGGGCAATTTTTCTTTCGTGAAAGAAGACTTTCACTTCCTTTTCAGGTTTATTTTCTTTCTTTTATTACCTTAAGGTGTTATTAGTGAGCTTAGGGGAGGGACACACTGACTTGGATACGGCGTTTTGAGGATTCTTGAACATCCCTACCCCACTGGTAAAGCTTGATTTTCATGCATCCGTTGTCCGACGATACTATGATACGAAATTAATTTTATTTTTTTCGTAAAAATTACGCAGTTTTTTAATTTACTGCATTTTCATGCCTCCGTTCATAGGATATACGATTTCCTTTTGATTGGTGTCATTTTATATTTTCATTTCCATAACGATTTTGCTATTTTACTTATAGTCTAAGAGCTAGCAACGTTTCCGAGAGGGAATTTTAAGAGAAATCTGGTTTTTTAATATATCTTTTGCTATACTCTCCTGAACAGAGTGCTGACCGTTTGGCTGTCGGTAGACATTGTGTTCACTACTGCACATCATATCTATTTTCAACATCTGTTTACTACTGCGCATCACAAATTCGCCCTGTATTTCAGGAACTAAGGAGGCTAGGACAAACCTATGTGTAGCATATTTAGTTTCATAAAAGTAGCAAAGTAATGTGAAAATGGCATCATTGTATCTCTACTCATAAACGAGAAATCCCATAAAACTAACGAAAATGGGATACCCTGTACAGATGTGATGCGCAGTAGTGAACCGCAGTAGTCTACCGGAGGAATCAAAAAAGTACAGGAGAGCATAGCAAAAGATATATTAAAGATCCAGCTTTCTTAAAATTCTGGTTTTCCCGATGGTGCTAGCTCTTGTACTATTATATTTTTATTAAGGTTAAATTCAATTTGTCAAAAAAGTGTCAAAACGTTCGTTATTGTACGATCTCTCTCCGTTGACGGGCGGGTGAAAAAATTTACGGATGAAAAGTGGCGGCGAAAACGCTATGACCAATCAGAGCGCTATCGGACCATTCATCGTATTATAGCGTTTTTTTATAAAACATTACCACTGCGAACGGCAGCTTTTCATCGGAGGGCAGTCGTGGATAAGGTATTTCACTAGAGAGAAAACTAATCAATAACAATAAACAAAAAAAATATAGATATTGGGCGCCAGGTAGAGAAAGAAAACCCAGTTGTATATCACTTAAAACTAATGACTATATTCATTCATGATGTTCTTTGCTAGTACATGACATTGTAGAGTTCTATTAAATATAGTGGTTGTATGTCAAAGAAAGTGGTGTTAACAATTGTACTAAATATCTATGAAAACAACTATGATAAAATACAAGACGTAAAGTTAAGGAAAATGTATGAAATGTAGCATTACTTTAATTAATTTGATATATTTTATATGATATTAAATCAAAGATGTTGCAACCCGTAGATTCTAAAATCTATGTTTGGTTATTCATCTGTTAAAATAGTGCAATAATAATATCTATGAAAGTAATACGCACAAGAAGTAATGTAATGAATCCTAAGAATTAAATCATATTTTCAATTCTTGTTTCAAATAGTAGCAGCGTGAGGTGGGCTCGCATCTCTGTACTCGGCTATCCAATACAACAAAAGGGGCCAGAATGAAGACACCATGAATTAATACAGCCGTAACTATTGACTAGACTTAGAAATGGAAAAGAAGCAGCATGGGGTTCAAGCTACATCCACGCTGGGGCACTTTTTATATAAGATAAATCATTCCTACTTGGGACACTCGTCCACAGGACATCCGTACATAGGGCATCCAACCATAGGACAATGTCGTAACTTGGACATCCGTCCATAAGATAACGGTACAGGGGAACACTACCCGTACCTTGGAACACTACTAGGACCTTGGATAATGCCCGGCGTACCTTGAATACTGTCCGTACCTTGGACAATGTCCGTAACTTGGACCATAACCTTGGACTCAATACATATATATGGGACACCTGCCCATACCTTGAACCCTAAAAATCGAAACTCTTGTTTAAAACCAAACAAGGTCTAATAAACAAAATAAACCTACCTCGAAATACTTCCGAGGGTTCAATAAAAAACAAAAGAACTGTCCTTTCTTCCATTTAACACTCTGGAGGACAAAAGAAAACCAACGTGTCAGCAAACATCAAATACGAGTTGAGGTGGGTCAATCCAAAACTCTACCCTAAAAATACGCAGTAATAATATCGAATCAAAAATGATAATATCTCATTTCTACCTGTAGCTTCGCAATAGCAGCTGATTCAAATTATACAGCAAAATTTAAATAATTGCAATTTCTCTAAGCAGGACTATTGAGATGGCCGACGGCCAAACTCAAAGTGAAGTTAAGCGCGGAGAGGCGCCTTGAAGCGATGTTGACAGCGCCTCCACAGAGTAGTGAAACGATAACATGGTTGCTGACTAGAGAAAGTAAAAATTACGCCAGGCGCGTCAAATAAATTATCCGGCCTGAACGAGAGGGAAGGACGTGAGTTTACAATTCTTCTCCATTGAGTTCTATTATGAGCTGCTTCTTCCTACTCATTTTGCATGTTAATCCCGTTTAAATTTTCGTGGAAAATGTCCTTGTACCTTTTCAGTTGTCCACCCGGCCTCCTCTTACCGTCTATACAAGCTCACCGTAAAACAGAGATTTTGGGAATGCGGCTTTCTTTCATTCTGAATACGTGACCAGCCCATCTTAAGCGGGATTTTGTAACCATGACTCCAATACTCTCGCAATTATCTTTTTCAAGGACCGATACGTTTGAGACACGATGGAACCACCCGATTCTTAAGAATTATCTAAGGTGTCTCTGTTAAAGCAACTTATTTAATGCTTTCATGTGTCCAGAATGCTCTTGAGGCGCTGCTAATCCTGTGCTGAATTTCATAGTCAATATTTGCCTTATTGAAATCACACTGATTTCGGAAAACAAACGGATAATGGACGCATGAAAATCAAGCTTAAGATGTATGACTTTCCCCTATATTTTTTACTATGCTCTATAATACCATAATATCCATTTCAACGTAACAAGACACCGAGGGATCTCTTACGAAGCCCTATATTGATTTCTGGTTTGTCTTACACCGAGGCTCAGGCGAGATAGCGAAGTTTATACTAGCTAACTTTATACCATTGTTATTACGCATTCGAGACCATGGAAAATACTTACATCTCGCGCAAAGTTCGCGAAGAAAACGCAAAGTTCAGTCGTTTAAACGTAATTATAATAGGAGGAGGTCTGGTAAGATATAGATCCTTTATAAAAAGTGTTTTTTTTATATTTAATTTGTAGGTCGGTTCTCTTTGTGCTTGTGTGTTTGCAAAAAGGGGATACAAAGTCACTTTGTATGAAAAAAGACCAGGTAAAAACTAGAAGTAATAGAATTTAACGCGATGTTACTTTTTTTTAGTAATAATTAATGATACAGGAATAAAAAGTTTGTACTTTTGAAAGCAGTGACTTAATTTTAAGTCGATTTTTCAAAGCTGACTTAAGACTTATGAGTCCATTTTACTAGTACGAAAAAGTAGCAAAATAAGCGTTGTATTATAGAATAAAATTGTTTTGAAGGGATGATTTTTCTTCCTTTTCGCTTTCAGATCCAAGAAAAACTACTGCTTGTAATGGCCGATCTATTAATCTGGCATTGTCCCATCGAGGCAGAAAGACACTGAGATTAGTTGGACTGGAATTGAGCATAATGGAAAGCTCTATAGCCATGAAGGGACGCATGATTCATCCTGTAGCCGGCGAAACCAGCTCTATACCATACGACCTTGTAAATAATCAGGTTAAAACAATCACTAAATCATCATTAAGTATTTTTTTATTTCATACTATACTCAAAACTAAGATTACGTCCATAGTGCACCAGCTTTCCGCTTTCCGGTGGTCCGCTTATATCGTAGCAGGTCTTATCGCTTTCTGAACCTGCGCCGATAAAGTAGGTAGTAGCCATCTAAAAAATAAAGTTAAGACCGCTTCTAGGAAAGAAGTTAACAACCGCTTGCAGGAGCTATCCTGTGGGGATCTGTTATGTCTTTTTATTTGCTAGTGATAATGTGCATATTAAACTGGCACAAAAAGTACTACTCGCGTTCATGGAATTAATCGATCTCATTTTGAATTCGGTAAATATTATACGTTATATCCACAATTCACCGCAATATTTCCGCATGGAAAAAGAAAGGTTGAAGTATATTTTCAACAAAATTGAAAACTGTTTAAAAATGCTGCAATTTTCAAAATATATAGATGTACAGAAGATAATTATGATTAAAATTGATTCATTTTTAATTATTTTGTAAGTAAATAGCTTGAATTGTGCTAAAGCAAAACCTTTAATGGAATTCTTGTTAGAAAAATATACAGGGTGGTCCAAATTGTAGTCCGGAAACTTCGGCAGCATATTCTGCAGATAAAAATAAGTAAAAAAGTTCGTATAAATGTATGTCCTAAAATATTTAGTTTCGGAGATTGTAGGATGTAGAAGTTTCATTTTTATTTCGATTTTTTCCAAATAATTTCTGAAGTAAGGTCAATATTTGGATGAAAATTGGTGCCTGGGAGTTTTTTGACATGAGAAATTTGATTTTGATGTCAATAGGACTCCTACTTGTAGAGGGCGCGACCTACATATTTTTTAACTGGTTTGAAGAGTAATAACTTTTAGTCCGTTCCTGTATAAAACTACTGAGTAAAAAAATATACATTTACGACTTTTTTATATAAAAAAGGTCTCTTGGTAAAAATCGTTACGAGTAATGGTTCTCGAGATATTTGGAATCAAAATTATCAATACCTGTCATCATTGAAATAAATTCAATATGTTGACTAAATAGTTATTAGACTGAAATCATAAATTTGATAATTTTTGTGCCAAAAGTTCAACAGAAACTGTTAAATCATCAATTTTTCGCAAAAAAATTTATGATTAATTTAAAAAATTAAAAATTTATTATTTCAGTCAAATAACTATACTCAACGTGTGCTGATTTTTTGTCAATACTTGTAATTGTAACATGTATTGACTATTTCAATTTTAAATATCTTGAGAACGGTTGCTCGTAGCGATTTTTACTAAGAGACATTTTTTACGTGGAAAGTCATGGAAATGTATATTTTTTTCAGTCAGTAGTTTTATACAGTTACGGACGAAAAGTTATTACTCTTCAAAACATTTAAAACACATGTAGGTGGCGCCCTCTACAAATAGGAGCCATTTTGACATCAAAATCAAATTTCTCATGTCAAAAAACTTCTAGACACCAATTTTCATCCAAATATTGACGTTACTTCAGAAATTATTTGGAAAAAATCGAAATAAAAATGAAATTTCTACACCCTGTATCTCCGAAACTAAGCATTTTAGGACATACATTTATACGAACTTTTTTACTTATTTTTATCTGCAGAATATGCTGCCGAAGTTTCCGGAATACAGTTCGGACCACCCTGTATATAAAAACAAGCCAACGGCGGTCTCAACATCTCAATTGCCTATGCCGTCAGCTAGTTCGAATAATAAAAGTTAATTGAAAAGGTGTGACCTTTACTATTAATGATTTATTATTTGCCTAAAAAATTGAGAGACTCTTCCCTTTACCAACTTTTCTGTTTTTTCTCCAAACAAATCAACTCCCTGCATTGGAAAAATCACTAATTTAAAGCAGCCCCCGGATAAAGAATTCTATTAAATTTCCCGCTTGACAAACCAGTGGCGGCTCGTGCAGTCATTTACAAGATAAATTAATTTGAATTATTTACAGGGTTTTCGCTATTTTTTGTTAATGTCTGGCTTGTAACACGCGAAAAGTACTTAGCGAATGAAAAACTAAAATACTAGTGTTAAACGATGTCCAAGTAAAATGCAATGAGGCCTTTGTCTGGCAGTATAGTGAAATGCAATATGTCTGGCAGGTAAAAAATTGTATAAAAATTATTGAAACTATTGCCCCTATTTTCTGTTTCGTCAATAGCCTGCAAATTTTGTGAAATACCACCCAAAATACACACTTTTATGCAAATGCCTAACAATGTTAACGCTTAAATTTATTTAAGAAGAGAAAAAGATTTGAACCTAACCAACAATTCGTGTTTATAGTGGTTTACAGTAATTTTGTTAAATTATACGAATATTCTCGTTGATTATTGATACTTTAAATTATACGAATATTCTCGTTGATAATTTATAGTTTGAAATAAATATGACGATGTCCTCCAATGAAAATGCGAGTTGCCTAACTCTAATAATTCTAATTCTGAGCTAGCCAATGAGCTAAATGCTTCACCTAGACCGTTATTCAGAAGCTACAAACGTATCGATGAAAATATGCATGAAAATTTACTTTCTAGCACACAACCAGAGGATATTGGTACCCAAGTACAGTATCAAGTTTATCATAATGCTTGTCTTAGCTTTCAATCAAAAGTTTTTTTGGTGTTTACGCGATCCTTACCACGTTACTTCTTCTTCTTCTTAAAGTGCCGTGCAGATTCCTGCGTAGGCGTTCATCTTTTTCTTCCTCATCAGATGAATCTATTTATTGCAGCGACTTGGAATGCTTGGAAGTCTTGTATGCCTGTCCAATGACGAATATTTCTCAGCCAGGATAGCTTCCTTCGGCCTATTCCCATTTTGTCCCACTCGATTTTACCCTGGAGAATTAGACGCTGAAAGTGTCCCAAATAGGCTATTCTCCTCTTCTTGATGACTGCGAAGAGTTCACGTTCTTCTAGACCAGCTCTTCTGAGAATGTCTTCATTCCTCACACGGTCGACCCAGAACACTCTTAGCATTTGTCGTCGGGTTCACATTTCGAAGGCTTTAATTCTGTTTATTGTTGCTACCTTCAGTGTCCACGCTTCCACATCATATAACAAAACGGACCAAACATAGCACTTCACCATTCTGTATCCATAGCCGAAGTTCAAGTTCCTATCTGTTAGAACCTTCGAAGTTTTAGAAAAGTTGTTCTTGCCTGCTCGATCCTGCATTTGATCTGCTGATCTGGATCCCACGTTTGGATAACCATGCATCCCAAGTATTTAAATTGTGTGACCTGCTTGATGACCTCTCCATTTAAGTAAATTCTGGTGTTCGGAATGTTGTTTCTGCTGACAGCCATAAATTTAGTTTTGCTTCAATCATCATTCTTCTTCTTAAAGTACCTATCCTCTTTGGGTGTTGGCTATCACATTGGTCCATATTTCTTTGTTCACTGCCGTTCTGAATAAAGCTGTTGACGTCATTCCTGTCCATGTTCGTAGATTTCGCGGCCACGATATTCGTCTGCGTCCCGCTGATCTTCTGCCTTCTATTTTCCCCTGGAGTATGAGTTGGAGTAGGCGGTATTTCGCGTTCCGCATGATGTGTCCGAAGTATTCCAGTTTTCTGCGTTTGATATTCACCAGAAGCTCTAAAACCTTGTTGATGCGGTGTAGTACTGTCGCATATGACACGCGATGCACCCACGAAATCCTAAGCATGCGCCGATAGCACCACATCTCAAATGCCTCCACACGCTTGCATGATGCGTCGATAAGGGTCCACGCCTCTGCTCCATACAGAAGGGTTGAGAGCACGTAGCATCTCAGGATTCTGATTCTAGTGCGGACGTTGAGGGACAGGTTGCATAGCATATTTCGCATTTTGTTAAATGTCCTTCTCGCGATTTCGATTCGGTGTTTTATTTCGCGCGAGTGGTCCCAGTCTTTAGTCAGGGTGCAGCCCAGGTATGCAACTGTCTCGGCCGCTGGGAGAACGATGTTGTTAGCAGTGAACTGAAAGTTGTTGATGTAGTTCTTTCTAATGATCAACGTTTGAGTTTTCTTGCAGTTCATCTTCATTCCGTATCTGCTGCATGTATTCGCCACACGATCTATGAGTGTTTGGAGACCTTCAGCAGTATCGGCCAACAGAACTGTATCATCTGCATATATCAAATTGTTTATTATTTTTCCGTTTATTACCTCTCTGCCATAATCATTAAATATCTCTAAAATATTACATTTTTTTTATTAATTCTTTAGTTATTTATTTAGTCTTTTATTAATTCTTTAATTAATTATAGACGTTACAATATTTCAGGTGAATTTTTGCTTTACCCCACGAGCCGCTACTGCGCTGTAGTCACTTCAATCGATTAAAAGGGTTTACTTTAATTAGAAATGAACGGGTAAAAAACTTTTAATATGATCAGGCTGATTGTTTGTTTCAAATTCCGCGACAAACTTGGAAAAGGAAGTAAAAATAAAGTAAATAAACGGAAAAAAGTCCATTTATCTTGGCAACGGATCGGCTGCATGGAACTTATTTCGTTGAAAAGTTCGCGAAAGTGAAGAACTAAAAGATTTTTAGCATTAATTATAAGGAATTTATAATTAAATTTAGCTAATTCGAACTAAGAGTAATTACCTTGTCTGATTTTTACTTCCGGTATCTCTTTATTCGGCGCTAAATCCTTGAAGTATCACTAATTTGGCTTCCTTTAAAATTTATATTAGTACTTAAGAGGTCTCTTCACTCCCGGAAAATGTTTGAGACATTTTAGATTCTGTTTGAAAGACTGCTAGACAATGATGAATTAAGAAATGAAATATTCCCGTTGATAGCATTTTGCAATTTCTCTATAGAGAAAAATTTAGAAGATTTTCCCTGATTTAAGGAATAGTCCTAGAGTCGGGTGCAAAAACATGCAAGAGTTTTCTGAAGGCTCATATTTTCAAAATCGAATGCATTTTAGTGTTAAAAAGCAAAGGTACAAATACAGTCAGCAATTCCAGTTCCTGTTCTCTCTACAATTTCCTGTTTCACAATGTACCGTTTGTGTCCGCGAAGGGTTCATAGTTTCATAGTTGTCGATTTTCGAAAGAAATCAGTACATGTATATTATTTCGTATATTTTTCATTTTATTGATTTTATGGAAAGCACTGTTCATTAAAATGTTGTATCCTATGTTATATGGCTTGTTTCTCTCTACAATTTCCTGTTTCACGATGTACCGTTTGTGTCCGCAAAGGGTTCATAGTTTCATAGTTGTCGATTTTCGAAAGAAATCAGTACATGTATATTATTTCGTATATTTTTCATTTTATTGATTTTATGGAAAGCACTGTGTAATTTTAATTAACACCTCTAAACTGTTTTCTGAAGGCTGAAAATTTGTAGACAACATGCGAAAACAAAAATATAACAGTCAGACAGAGCAGTATGCCGGGACACAAAGCGTCAGCGCTACCTCAAACGCGCTGTCAAAAAAATATTGTCACTGAGAGTGATTTCTGAAGGCTGAAACTTCGCAAGGTAATAGTGAAAACAATATATTTATTAATAAAAACAGTCAGACTCGTCGATAATAGAACCCCGTCAGTCAGCAGCTAATGGAAGTGAGAATAGTGACAGCGCGCGTATAGGCGGGTCTTTAGTCTTTACTCACTAAAATCCTTGTCTATAATATATCGATATTCATCAATAATTTCACACAAAACAAAATAAATAATGAAAAAAATGCTTTATGCAAAAAAACATGTTTCTTGTGTTTATTTGAGGCCGTTTTCCTCCGACATTTATAAAGTAATAAAATATATTTTTCTTATAATATTTATGTTTAAATATCAATAATAGATATTGCAGTCACAAATTCAAAAATAAATATATTCGTATCGTTGAGAGAGAGAGAGAGTATTGTTATCTTAAATATTATTAGCCGGTCATACCAATATGTATTCTAGGCTATTAAGATCGACAAAAAACTTTTTTTAATTTCACTCAAAATGAGTTATTTGGGTCATAAATGACCTAAATACAAAATATTTTCATGGTGTCTGTCTGTCTGTCTGTCTGTCCGTCTGTCCGTCTGTAACACGATAACTCAAAAACCGCTGAACCGATTTTAACCAAATTTGGCACAAAAATACTGTGGCACCCGAGAATCTGGCCATTAGTTTTTGGTGGGGGTGGGGGGTTGGTAAGGGGGTATGGGAGGAGGTTAAAAATTTTAAAAAATCGTAACTCCAAAATTACAGTAGCTAGCGAAACGCGGTTTTCAAATTAAGATTAGGAATAATATTTCCAACAAAATTTGTAATAACATCAAAATCAGTCAAAGTCGCAGTGTTCCAGATATTAACATATTTCATTATGGGCGGCTACACCTGCCTCCTGGCGCCAATTTTTTTTTGTATGTTCTTATCAATAAATTATTAATCTAAAAATGTATATTTTCTCTTTCAGTGTATATATTCAGTTGGAAGAAATTTTCTTAACCAAATTCTTTTAAATGGTAAGTTAATTTCTACAGTTTTCTAAGCAATAATTTTAATTAAATTCAAATAGTTGCAGGAGTGACATTACAATTACAAAAAAAATATACTTCCCCAAAATATTATTTTGGGGATTTTGTTATTTTTTTATTTTTTTTACGACTGACTAGACATATTTTTTTTATCTATGTTACGATTTAAGATATCAAATGTCAAATATAGTCAAGTTTAAGCAACCTACCCAACCTGAAAAAACCAAACCAAACCTACCTAAATATAAATATTCTTATACAAAGTCAGAATTTTACAAATGCGATATTATAAAAATTAATTATTATGTATAATATCGCACTTGTAAAGATACGAGTCACAGGCGAATTTGTGACAAGGCTCATTTGATTTCTCCTTACGTCTCAAGTGCTGTACGGTGGAGACACCAATCGTTCTGTGGCCAACGCATATAACACTTATTTTCTCTAATTTAGCCATATAACTAAATATACTCAGCCTAATCTCTAAAAAGTGAAGCCCAAACCGTGAAAGAGAAATATGGAATTCTGCATAAGTCTATTTCAACCGGATATTCATTTAACTGCGCATGTCTTACCTAAAGAAGTTTTCATTGGTCGGTGTTTTTAAAGGGAACTGGTTGACTGACATTTCCCCTAACCTTCAATTTTATTTATATTTTTATTATTTATAACACATTATCCTGGAGTTATAAAAAATATTTGGAAACAATAAACTAAACAAAATCACTCTTTTACGCGCACAAATAAAAAGTAATCGAAACAGAACTAAAACAACAATCAATCGGAGTATGGAGCAATCGCAGTTCAATCCATATCCGGGTGAAATAGACTTATGCAGTATTAATATGGACCTGAGTTATGTTGTCATATGTATATGAATTCAGCCATTTATTATATGTATATGAATTCAGCCAGCGAACACATATTAAAGACGGGGTAGAACTGAAAGCGACAGTGTTGCCATATTAAATTGTGTAATATCTGTAATATGTTTGACAAAAATATGTTTGGATGAAAAATCCGCGTTTATGTATCGAAAATGTATTCGTGTCAAACATAGAATAAACAACAAAAATAGAAATTCTTTTATAAGTACTGAATATGTCGTATGATGTTGACATAGCGAATGATTATTGACATAGCGATCTTCATTTCCAAGTCAACTCTGACGCCGTTCTTTGTTTAATCATATTAATATTAAATTGTTTAATGATAGAAAATTCGTATTATTACCGTACTGTAACCAAAATCCGTAAATTTACGAATTAATTAGAAGTTCTGGCAACACTGACTCCGGCAACCACTCACTCTGTCGACTGAAAGCAGAACTACGGTACAGTATTCTTTATCCGCTGTGCTCTAAACGACTATCAACCCCCAGCGGCGCATATCTAAACTAAATCTCGGACAGGCTTACGGTAACGCCACCTACGTCTCGGACATGTTTTGTGCCACGAAATCACCCATAAGGTTGCGTATTCTCTTTTTTCTTCAATCAAAGATTATGTCTAGACCGGACTAAGACAGAAGACCATCTATAGAACTGCCGTCAATTCCCTAGACGAGGCTTTACATTTAGTTTTGAAAACCAAGGTACACGTGAGAATAAAATATTGTTTTCCTATAACTTTTAATGAAACCCCATTCTAAATCCCCTGATAACTTAATAAAGCGCAACGTTAGATTTGCTTCCTGGCTGATTTAGTTACATTGGTCGTAACTTTTACTTTAAAAATCCAGATTAAACGAGCGTTATTTTTAGTGGTCGTAAAACAGGGATTTGGGACGCAAAAAAAAAGGATTTTACAACTTTTTAACCACTTTTTCAGCTGCCGAAAAACACGAAGGCGTCACTCTGGTGTTTAAGCATAAATTGAGCGATGTTAATTTTGAAGAAAACACTCTGAAACTGATTAAGTAAGTATATTTTATTTAATGTGCGGTTTTCAGAGAAATAAGTAAATTAGGATGTGATCAAAAATAAGGCTGTTTGTGTTGAATGACTAAAATTTTCTTTAGATAGTTAGATTTAGCAATTTATAGTTATTTTTATGTAAGATGATAAAATGATATTTTATCGATAATGCAATTTTATCGTCGTGTATAAAACAATATTTTTTTTCATAGCGAGTTACGTTTTAAAAAATATTCAGAAATTATTTTTTCAAGGCATTTATTACGAGTAGAAAAAATATTGTCCTGGGTTGGCCTTGGTTTCTATGTAATTTGACAAATAAATAAAGCTGCCTCTTTAGTTGTCAGTTTTGAGTCAATATTTTTTAATTCTCTTTCGTGTCGATTGCTGATTGAATTGGAGTCAGAAATGGCTCAAAACGAAATAAGTAAATTACCAACAGATATTCGGGCCGAGGCGACAAACGCCATATCCAAACTACTTCCATTTAAATCCCGAATAACTTATGAAAAGGAATACAAAAATTTTCAAAAATGGAAGCAATTAAAAAACGTGCGAGAGGAAATAAAGTTTTTAACTTATCTCGCTTGTAAAGTATCATTTAATCTAGAGGTCATTCTAGATCTAACACCACTGCACATTGTCATTGGTAGATATGCCAATGCGACAATGATTAGAATGGTCACTAACGGAATTAGTACTGGGAGAATTGTCAACAATCAGGGGCTTAGAACACCGTCAAAAAGGAAATACCACTCCTGCAACTCCCAGTGGACGATATGCCAAGAACGTACAACTTTGACAAACATGTCAATGTAGTATTGAGCAATAAGAAGGATTGGAAGAGCGAAACGCTTGCCCAGCAGTTAAAAGACCATACCATAACTTGGTATACTGATGCTTCCAAATCCAATACGGGAACAGGGATCGGAGTGTTTGGGCCGAGAGCTAATTACTCCGAACCAATGGGCCCTAGTATCCTACAGGCAGAAATCTACGCTATCGAGAGATGCGTACAACTTATCTTAGATAGGAACTATCGGACACAAGAAATAGCCATCTTATCTGATAGTCAAGCAGCGTTAAAGGCGATCAACTCAGTATCAATCGATTCGAAATTGGTCAAAGAATGCTTAGAGAAGCTGAATAAATTAGGCAAAGAAAACAAAGTCCTCCTACACTGGGTGCCTGCTCACCAAGGGATAGAAGGCAATGAAAAAGCAAATAATCTAGCTAGGAAAGGAGCGAACACTCCACTAACTGGACCAGAACCGTTCTGCTTTCCAAGTGGTAACCAACTCAAGGCGGAACTCAAGAACTTGGAAGATTCCATCCGCAACCTGGAATGGAAATCTTGCAATGGTCTAAGACACTCGAAGAAGTTTCTGAGGGCTTATGATCAAGAAAAATCACAGGTCTTCCTGGGTCTGAGTAAGAACAATCTTCGGATTGTCACGGGGTTTTAACAGGACACTGTCTCATCAATGAACACCTCAGTAGATTGAAACTAAGAAGAAACGGCGAATGCAGATTCTGTGGGGAAGATGGTGAAACACCAGTACACCTCATCACTGAGTGCGCCGAGACGACAACCATTCGTGCCATGAATTTTGGTACGACTGATATTGGAGATGGAGAACTACCCTCTATAAAACCGTCCCAGATACTGGCTTTTGTCAAAGCCCTGGGACTGTATGATGAGTTATGATTCAAGAAAGGGGGACACAATGGATCTGTAAGGTCGAAGTGATTAACCCCCCTCCCACTCATTCTAAATTCTAAAAAAAAATCATTTAATCTACCCTTGAAATATATCACAACAGAAAAACCTTGTCCAGTCTTGCTGGTACTTGCAGGTACTTGCTTATACATGCAATCCATATAAATGCCTCTATCTCTATATTTACGCATTTCTCTGAGTCTGTGTGGTGTCTCATCCATTTTACTAGGTGTTTATTTTCACCATCACAATTTTGGCGAGAGCATTCAAAGGAATGTTGATTAAGTAGATCTCTTGTTTATGTGTTCAAAATTTCTAGTATTTGTATAAAATTGTCTATAATTGACTTGGGTTACGCTTACAAATGGTGTTTATTTGATTTTAGAGTGTTTTGTAAAGTGGTATTAAGTAAAATTGCAATTGTACAGGGTGGCGCCACTCATATGCAGAAGAAGCTCAAAGCACATAAGCTCCAAGAAGAACAGTAGTGTATAACGAAATTAAATTTTGGGAGCATATGTAGGTTAATTGAAAGCATTTTATAAAAATATATAGAGCCCTACAGGGTGCCCCCAAAAAAGTTATTTATGAAAGTTGTTTTTTTTTGTAATAGATATTTCCAGCATATTTCGTTCCATGCATTGAGAGTTGTGCGACCTGCAGTTTCCTTATAATTTCCGTTTTAAGTGTCCAAGTTTCTCAAGGATAAGTCATGACTGGTAGTACACATTGCTCGAATGTTTTCTTCTTTAGATAAAGTGGCATTCGAGATTTGAATATGATTGAGTTTCTTCCATAAGTACTCCATTATGTATTAACAACCAAAGAAACACTCTATACAGGGTTGTTTACCACATACGACACGGAGTATTGTAGCTAAACGACTAGATTTTTACAAATTGTAAGTTTTGGGTTCGTTGAAGGACTATTAGAGCTACAATTTAAAAATATTTTTACAAGATACAGAGTGTCCCAAATAAATAAAAAATATCAAAGTTGTACTTTTTTAAATGGAACACCCTATATATTATTACATTTTTAGTTTCTACGATTAAAATAAAGGTAATTTTGATTAAGGTTTATTACACTTAAACCTTACCGTTTTTGAAATATTTTCAATTTTGTGAAATTGCAGTATAAATTTTAAGGCTTCATTTCTCCGAGGGTATCAAAGTTTTTAATACTAAATATTCACTGTTTAAGTTTATTTATTGATCAGTTATTGTGTTGCAATAATAAAAACTTTACTACCTTATACAGAGTGTCTAAAAATTTATTTTAAATAATTACTAGTTTTAAACGGCAATAACTTATTTCATTTAAATGGAACACCCTGTATATTTTATGAGAATCAGATGCACAATTTAATTGTCTATCAAATTGTATTATACCATTTTTTACCTATCTCTTCAAGTTTCCGTAGAAAATGCATTTTCTTGTAATTTAGAACTCATTTATCAATATACCCATGGAATACTGACATTTTAGATTATGTTTAAAGATGTACCAAATTTTTAAAGAGTACAGATACTAATATTGTCATTATAGTTCGTTTATTTCATTAAAAAATAAAAAAAAACTGTTTAAATATTTGTTAAAGAGGACCAATTAATATGATTCCAGTATTCAAACTACATTAATTGACTGTTTGCGTTGATTAATAATAATTGCTCTAAATACTAAAAAACTGAATTATGTATGTATATTAGATAGTGTGGTAAAAAGTAGCACCTTAAAAATGATATTTAATTTTTTAACAAATGCTTATTTATAACAATAGAGACGTTCATTTTCATAACTTATTATTATATTGATTTCTGATTCAAATCCACACTTATTAAGAATAATGTATTAACGAACACAATTAAGTATGTAGTTAATTAGTATTTGGGCGGAAATACTGGTGGTATATTTAATTAATGGTATACTCTTTTACAAAGATTTAAATAGTTCTCTTTTTGCATATAAATGGGCTAGTAATATTATCGTTTTACTAAAAACGATAATATTACTAGCCTGTACATTTTGTACATTTGTTGTTTTAAAAACAATATAAAATGTCAATATTCCATAGGTATATTGATAAATGAGGTCTAAATTATAAGAAAATGCATTTTCTACGAAAACTTGAAGGAATAGGTAAGAAGTGGTATAATACAATTTGATAGACAATTAAATTGTGCATCTGATTCTCATAAAATATACAGGGTGTTCTATTTAAATTAAATAAGTTATTGCCGTTTAAAGCTAGTAATTATTTAAAATAAATTTTTAGACACTCTGTATAAAGTAGTATAATTTTTATTATTGCAACACAATAACTGATCAATAAATAAACTTCAGTAAATATTTAGTATTAAAAACTTTTATATCCTCGGAGAAATGAAGCCTTAAAATTTATACTGCAATTTCGCAAAATTGAAAATATCTCAAAAACGCTGAGATTTAAGTGTAATAAACCCTAATCAAATTTATCTTTATCTTAATCGTAGAAACCAAAAATGTAATAATATACAGGGTGTTCTACACTCTGTATCTTGTAAAAATATTTTTAAATTGTAGCTCTAATAGTCCTTCAACGAACCCAAAACTTACAATTTGTAAAAATCTAATCGTTTAGCTACAATACTCCGTGTCGTATGTGGTGAACAACCCTGTATATTAATTGATTTTCAGTTAAGAATAATAAGAATAAACTATATATTTTAATAATAACTATCTCAATTATAATTTACCCTGTATAGTCTGATATTTAATTAAACTAATCATTGTATATTAAACCCTAAAATTATATAGGGTGAGACAAAATTAATCCTGAACGTTGGTAACTTTTAAAAGCAAATTACTCCTTTATTTTAATTGGAACACCCAGTATATGATTCCGATATTCAATGAGGTATTCATGTCTCTTTAAAATACTATTAAAGTTACCTACCCCCTAAACAATTTTTATCTTTATTATTTGATAATATCTATCTTTAAATAAATATATGTTTAAATTTTCAGTCAAGAAACCAAAGAAATAATCACGGAAACAGCCGATCTAATAATCGGTGCAGACGGAGCATTTTCATGCTTACGAGGTTTTATGCAAAAACGCTTTTTGTACGATCTCACCCAGTCATACATTGAGCACGGCTACATGGAGCTGCGTGTACCGGCCAGCAGAGGACACAAACTCCGTAACAACCATCTGCATATTTGGCCCAGAGGTACGGTTGTCCCTTTTTTAGCTTTTCCTGACCCTTTTGGGGTCACTAAAAGGAGCATCCTTGCCTCTAAATTTTAGTTTAGCATAGTTTTTGCTTGGTAAGGGTCTCATAACTAACCGTTCTTGTTGTGTAAACAGTTCAATTTTATAATTATCTAAAATTTTCAGTTTGATCTTTAATCTAGCAAATACCTTTATCATTTTCCTTTGTTAAAACCTCGCATTACTTTATAGCTCTGTAAAAGGTTGTCTTTTAAATTTGTCTATGAATATTTTATTCACTCATTTTAAAGATAAATCTCTTATATAGGAGGGCGAATTAAATACAGGGTGATCTAATGTTTCGAAAATTATCCATAAACAGGGAGGTCCGAATTGTATTCCGTAAACTTCGGCAGCATATACTGCAGATAAAAATAAGTAAAAAAGTGTGTATAAATGTATGACTTAAAATGCTTTGTTTCGGAGATACAGGGTGTAGAAGTATCATTTTTATTACGATTTTTTCCAAATAATTTCTGAAGTAACGTCAATATTTGGATGAAAATTGATGTCTCGGAATTTTTTTACATGAGAAATTTGATGTCCATATGACTCCTACTTGTAGAGGGCGCCACCTACATATTTTTTAACTGGTTTGAAGAATAATAACTTTTCGTTCGTACCTGTATAAAACTACTGAGTAAAAAAATATACATTTACGACGTTTTCTACGTAAAAAAAGTCTCTTGGTAAAAATCGCTACTAGTAATGGTTCTCGAGATATTTGAGATCGAAATTATCAATACCTGTCATCATTGACATAGATTAAACATGTTGACTAAATAGTTATGAAACTGAAATTATAAATTTGAAACGTTTTTGAGCCAAAAACCCAACAGAAATTGTTTTATCATAATTTTTTAGAAGAAAAATTTATGATTAATTTAAAAAAATAAAAAGTTCTCAAATTTATTATTTCTGTCAAATAACTATCTACTCAACTTATCAGTAATGACATGTATTAACTATTTATATTCTAAATATCTTGATTACGGTTGCTCGTAGCGATTTTTACCAAGAGATATTTTTTTACGTAAAAAGTTACGAAAATATATATAATATTGTCGCGACCTAGCTGGGGGTTGTTTGCTAGGGTCGCTATACCAGGTTCTCTCTCTCAATCAAAACAACCATTGGATAAAATATGCATTTATTTAATATAAGGTTTACAGTGTATAACAGTTTTGGGGAATGCCAAGACTTAACGGTTTACTTAAAGAAGTACTTACAGGAACATCTTCATTCTGTGCTGTCTTCTACTAACGGACTGATAACGCGAATTACTGACCGTAATAATGCGATTCATATCGACGGACTAACCTCCCGATTCTCTTCAGCATACATTTTTATATTTTCTATCCCTCGTGGTCATCGCCGGTTACGTCGTTCAATCTGTTTTCATCTTTTCATCTAATTACATTCACCCGGCTATGACCATGAGGAAATCGAACTTTGGTAGCCTGCGTTTGATTATCTACCCGAGATTGTTGTATTTTAATTGTTTAATTATCAATGTTATTTAAAAACATTATCTGGGTCGATGTCATGCAGGTAACCGATCTCTTGGGCCTATACCAAATTGGTTTACTCGAATTATATTTTATTTACTAGAATTATATTATTTGTGTTTTTTTCTCCATTTGATCTAAACCTAAGTTGACATCTATTTAAGTCTTGACAATATCATACAGGTACAGACGAAAAGTTATTGTTAAAAAATTATAACCAGTTAAAAAATATAGAGGTGACAACCAAACCTCATAGATAAAAGAAAATAATCTACTATTAAGATAGATATGAAACTTAATAGTAAAATTTTGGGTCAAAGCGCCCCTCCGTGTTTTTAGTGGAGACTACGTTTAACCCAGCGCCTTCGCCTTTTCTGCTGTAAATGTTTTTTTATGTTTATATTTGAATTCAAAGGATTTATTTTTAAAGTTACACTGATATATTAGTATATCAGAGTAACTTTAATAAAACATAAGAATATATATATTTTACAATTTATTTTTTTATTTATTTTAGAGTTTCATGTAAATAATGGTAAGTCGACTGGATGTTTAATGAATAGACCGAGATTTATAGATTTTAAAGCGAAGGAAAAAACATCAAACAACGAATACATACCATATATTTTTCTTTTATCTAAGATACATACCTTATCGTCTTTTGGAAACACGTACATTTTTGAAGTTTTGTTAGTTTCTTTGCAAGATGCAACACAACAAGAAAACACCATTTTTACAGTTAATAAATAATAAAACTATTTCTGACTATGATATTTAAAATTTAGATAGATATAAAATTAAAAAACAAACGAGTATTTGCAAACGCAAGCACAAATTCTTTAAAAATCAAAATTTTTCCTGCGAAAATTAGTCTTTTTTCACTGAAAAGGTATTTTTTGATTTATCAGCAGTCATTGTCAAGTTGACAATATACAGGTTGTTTTCGAATTAGTCTAAAAAAATTGTGGTGTGATTCCTCATGTGTTCTTAAAACAATTTTTATATAACCATTAGGTCTAAAGTACTTCCCCTTTCTGATCTACAGGGTGTTAAAAATTAAAAATAATCGATTTTGTTGCTTAACATAAATGGTACACCACTGCTTTTTTAAAGAAAAATATTTTTTTCTTGACTGGCCATCCTTTTCAACAAAATTGATCTTTTGAGTTTTTCTTGTTCATCAAACGGTTGTTGAGAAAAAATAAATATACTTATTAAGAGCCCGCTTTAATTCGTTTTCTAAGGATATTTTATTTTTTAGATTAATTAGGAAACACCCTGTATATGCATATCACAGGCAACCAAATAATGATTTAGTACATTAATATAATGAATATGTGTTTATTAAAGTTTCAGCACTAAAATAAAGAACGCGTTCATTGGGACAATAGTAGCCTCTAATATTATGAAAATCCTACATTAATTTACATACCGTGATTTTCATTATATTGATGAAATTAGATTTATAGTGTTAATAAATCGGATATCGATCTATGATTAACAAATCATTATATTAATGAAAAAAATAATTGTCCCAATGAAACAACAGTTAATAATCAATGTTCATTAATATTATGAACAATATTTTTTTCAGTGTTCTCATGTAAAAAACTCCCAGTCACCAAAAATCAAAGCTGGTATTTTCTGTAATTAATTTTTTTTATTTATTATTCTTGTTTTAGGAACATTCATGATGATTGCTCTTCCCAATCAAGATAGTTCTTGGACAGTAACCCTATTCATGCCGTTCAAACAATTCAAATCCATTACAGATCCAGAAAAACTCCTTAATTTTTTCTCAAACACCTTCACAGATGCGTTAGAACTCATAGGAAAAGAAGAATTAGTCCAAACATTCTTCACCAGCAATCCTGCACCGTTGATAACTGTGAAATGTGGTCAGTACCATATGGGTGATAGATTTCTGATAATCGGTGATGCAGCACATGCTATGGTACCGTTTTATGGCCAAGGTACTCAAAATGTGATTATCACAATATTTATTTCTATGTTTCCATTGACCATTAAACACTGAAGGGTTAAATGGAATATTTTAAAGAATAAATTATCAGGATATTTTTATCGAGACTTTTTATATGCTGAAAAATAGTGATGAACGTGATGCACAAAAAGCAAGACCAAAACCAAGACTCGCCTTTAATCAGCAAGACCGGAGTCAAGACCAACCATTGCAAGATTTCTTTGTCTTGGTCTTAGACTTGATCATCACTACTGAAAAAATATTTCTTATCTATATTTATAGTTATTTTTTATACAAGACGATAATGCAATTTTATCGTCGTGTATAAAACAATATTTTTTCCATAGCGAGTTACGTTTTAAAAAATATTCAGAAATTATTATTTCAAGGAATTTATTACGAGTAGAAAAAATATTGTGCTGGGTTGGCGTTGGTTTCTATGTAATTTGACAAATAAATAAAGCTGTCTCTTTAGTTGTCAGTTTTGAGTCAATATTTTTTAATTCTCTTTCGTATCGATTGCTGATTGAATTGGAGCCAGGAATGGCTCAAAACGAAATAAGTAAATTATCAACAGATATTCAGGCTGAGGCGACAAACGCCATATCCAAACTACTTCCATTTAAATCCCGAATAACTTATGAAAAAGAACAAAAAGATTTTCAAAAATGGAAGCAATTAAAAAACGTGCGAGAAGAAATAAAGTTTTTAACCTATCCTCGCTGTTAGTGTATTATTTAACCAAACCCTTGCGGTTAAAGTACTATTTTATCTACTATTTTTGATAGATATAAGGCAATTTTAACAGTTGCTATGGAAAAAAATAAGATAATTACTCATTATGACATCTAAATTATTATTTTTTCTTGTACTATTTTCTACTGATAGAAAAAAGAACAAAACATAAAAAATCACATTTAAGAATGGACTAACTGCTATAAACTCCATGCACAAACAAAAGTTACTTGTATAAGCTTTGAAAATAGCACGTTTTTAAAATTAGCTCACTGTTATACGCACACTACGCTTTTTTTTTTGTCTGTTGAAAGTTATAGGAATTTTTTCGAATCCCGATAAAATAATGCTTTCGTTACTCACTTCCATTCAGCTTTTTATAAACAATATATATCTCAAATCTTATAGTAGATATGTTGACGTGTTCGTGTAAACAAAATGAATATTTTCAGTCTTTTAATTTGACAGAAAGCAATCCAAAAACTCAATAGAGTGTAGAATAATATTAATGAATAATATACAACCAATAAAAAGCAAGAATAGGATACTTTTGACTTGGTTTATATTCTCAGCAGTTCATTAGTACATTATATTATATGAAATTTACGAATTATACATGGTAAAAACCAAATTACATTTGAGAACCTTGAAATTTTGAAATGCGTTAAGCAAGATTAATGATTCTCTTCTAAAAAACTATATATAAACTACAGGTCATACAAAATAAATTTTTAGTCACGTGATTAAGCTTGACCGGCACAGTGTTGCGCACTTTTACATATTTTCTTTTAATCCAAATATTTTAAGAAACAAAAATAAATTAATTATAAATATATGAACAGTTATTATTTACTATCAACAAAACCCACCTCCTTAACAGCACTTAAGGGACATAAAGGGCCATTACTACCGCTTTCCCGTTCAAAATATTCTAATAAGGTTGCGATGAGTTTTTTGCAATTACTATTAAGATATATTGTACACTTCGCACTAAAAGAGGTTCTAAAAAGAACAATGTTCGACTGCAACACAATGCATTTAAACGAAAAACTCGTAATACAAAACTAAAGTGTCAAAACGAATGACAGTGTCAGGAAATAAATGAATAAATGTGGCAACTTGATATTTTTTACAGCAGAGCTATCTTAGACAAGGAAAGAGAGGGGACAGCTAACACGCATATTCTCCAGTGAAAAATTTTAGAGGCCAAAATTTGATCGGCGGCCATACTTTGGTGACAAGATTTAGAGGTGACACCAAGCGAATTTTTATGTTTTTTGTCTTTGAATAAGAAGACTAAGGAAGGAGCATATCAAAAATCTTAGGTGCACCGCGATGGGCCTCAAATATGGCCGACTTAAATTCCGGTTTATCAGTGCCGTTCTAATTTTATTTAAAAAAGGTAAAACTATGATGTAGGGTAGACGTGGGGTAGACTCAATAATTTGTTATTTTATTTTATGTTGTGAATAAATGTTGGTAGTTATTAAAATTGTTATAAAAATATATAATTCTAATAAAAATAGATAAGTTATAATAAGTATTTATTAACACAAACATCCGATACGCTACTGAAGCAGGTAAGTCAAATTAACGTATCAAAATTCTTTGACATGTGATCTTTGACAAGTAATAAATAAAAGCTAAAATGCAAGAAAATATATAATTTAGTTAATTTAAGTGAATTTCATAAATGATCGGTTTACTACACGTATGTATATTATATAGTCACTTACTAGCGAAAAGTTGTTATTTCACTCAATTTTTGTCGAGATCTACCGCACGCTACACAACCCACTATTTTAGAGTCTTTTTCGATAAATCGCGATAATGTCACTGTTAATTTAAGTTCTTCCACAATTTCCATCTAGATTAATGACCTTTATACAACTATCAGTAGTAGAATAAATAATAAATAACATAAAATAAGCTCCGTAAAGACTGACAAATCCACAAAATTTCAAATCAAATTCAAATGTGTCAAATGAATCGTCAAACAGAACTGTCAAGGATCACCACCCTAGAGAGCTTTTTCCGCCCACGATGCATGAATACATGGATAGCATTATGCTCCTTCCTTAGTCTTCTTATTCAAAGTTTTTTGTGAATACTGTTTTGTTTTATATTTATAAACTATGTTGTTTAGTATGGTGAGATGCTCGGCGTATGGCTGCAAAGGCCGAAGCAAGAAAAAAATGACTGGAATTACATTTTACAGGTAAAAGTTGATACACAACTTGTGCTATGTAGTCATAAAATGTACATTTTTTTCATTATAGCAGTAAAAATATGTAAAATGCTTTTAAAATGTCTTGTACCACATCCAAAGCAAACTATTTTTAATAATTCCAAGTAGTATTTTCAATATACTATATTATAATTAATGTTTGAAACTATAAATAATGCTACTCAGACAGGATTTCTCCAGTGGCGTAGGGTATTATAATCAGAGAAATACAATTTCTGCAATAAACATTTTTGTTTATATATTTTACATGTAAAAAAATGTATAAAGTATTGTTATCAAATATGTAAAATAATAACTGTAAACTATAAAAAAAACATGAAAAATTTTGGTTATAAAAAATCTATATGTATAGTTATATCTATATGTAAGTCTAAAAAATCTATATGTAAGTTATATATTGTTACATAAAACTTAAATTTACCTGCCAAGATTTGCTGGGGGTGGACAAACTTGTGGTGGGCTACTGGTTACAATATTTTTTTAAATATCCTTTCAAAACATTTGCTAGTTTAGGTGTATAATAATAGTTTCAGTGAGTAATTAATAAAAGATTAAAAATAAATAAATAAAATAACACAAAGCTTCTAGAATAATTGTTTATTTTTTTGCGGAAAATTAGGATATTCTTATGATTGAAGGTAACAAATATTACAAATTACATTATTCATTGAATCCGTAGGCAAGTGTGAAGGGGTTTGGCTAGATTCATTATTATACCGTATGATCGAAAAAAAACGGCGTCCAGTTGGCTTGTAAATGACTATCGATGACATTCCTCTTAGTTTTTTTTCGATGTCATTTTATATAGTTTTTATGTCATTTTATATGTAGAATTATATGGGGAATGTCATCGATCGTCATGTCCATACAAACAGGATGCCGTTGTTTTTCGATCATACGGTATATATGTATATACACGTTTAAAACATATATATTTATATTATTTTTTATTTAATTATACATTATACATACGTTAATAAATAAATAATTGTCTTGATGATCAGTTCACTGCGACTGTTAAATAAATTTTGCATTATCGACTTAGATATTCTAATATTATAAAGGTGAGACTATAAAATACAAAATTGTATATACATTACTCAAAAATAAACGATATATTAGTAAAGTTATCGTTTTAATAAATATTTTTTATCGTCTAGGTACAAGCTAATTTCTAATGCTACGCCATTGGAGAATTTCGAGTGGTGACAAGTGGCCTCACTTTCAGCTGCCGTGTTACCTGTCCTCTCTCTTTCCTTGTCTAAGAGAGCTATAGTACCTGAATCCCCAGCGAGAAATTTAAATTCCAGTTAGTCAGCCTGGCACCGAATGTGTTGACGGTTGGCAACAATGAATTTAAAAATCGCACACACTGGATTACGTAACTAAAAGTTTAATTGGTATCGCTTATAGTTTACACTTGATAACGGTCAATGATACATCTCATCAAGACAGCGGAAGTCAATATTATTCTAATCATTTATTTACAGGTATGAACGCTGGTTTTGAAGACTGCACTATTCTAAACAACCTGCTGAACGAACACAAAGACAACGTCAAGGCTTCCATTGAAGCATTTTCTGAGCAAAGACGCCAAGATGTGCATGCTGTATGCGATTTGGCTTTGTACAATTACAAGGAAATGAGGGATTTAGTCACAACTCGTTCGTTTAAGTTCAGAAAAACTCTGGATGGAGTTTTATCAAAATGGTTACCGGAAATATGGACACCTTTGTACAATTCGGTCAGTTTTAGTCATATGGAGTACCATAAGTGTTTGGAGAATAAGCTTTGGCAAGATAAGGTAAATGTATTTTTTTCAAACGTCATAAAAGTATTAATTTTTGCGACGCGACGCGATTGACAATATAAAAAACTCATTTTAACGCCTAGGCATAAAAGTAAAGCACTTTTACGCCTAAGCATGAAGGTAGGAAAATAATATATTATTAAACTGACATAAAGTGTCAAATTCAACGAGGGTAACCATAGTTTCTCGATATATAATTACATACATGGTATGACTTTTAAATATTTTTATATTATTTGGAAAGTTTGAAATTGTTTAAAAAATTATTTGTGACGAAAAAATAGCATGTTCTATTAGGAGTAAAAATGACTTTTTGAGGCTCACCTGTATGTCAAACGTACAGCCTCGCCACAGAGTGTTATTTTTGCTCCGAATAAAACTATAGATATACTCTTCCGTATTAAAAGGCATTATTGTCTTATTATCTATAACATCCTACGATACATCTCAACCTTGCAAAAAATAAAATCTTGTATACATATTAATATGTACAGGGTGTCCCACTAAGAATAGCTCGCGGCTGTATCTCGGAAAGTATTAGCCGTAGGGGCTGCGAAAAAAAATATTTATGACTAAAGAGGCTATGAGAAATCGCTGGAGATTATTTTCAAGTTTGTAGAACGACCGCTAGGGGGCGCAACTGCAACAAAAAATAAGAAAATGGAGTTTTTACAAACTACTTTACAACCGTATTGTAAAAATAATGTAATTGAAGGCTTATTTTTTGGCATTTATTATAATTTTGCTAATATCTTCGGTTTGAAAGAAGATATCAAGATGCGGTCTTCGCTGACTTTTTAAGCTTTTTCTACTTTTTCCGATCAGCTAAAATTACATATACTATTGCATTTAATTTTTTTGAAAAAACGCGTAATGTTTGTTAGATTGTAAGAGTGCGTCCTCAAGCGTCTATGTTCAAAAGCGTATTATTATTATTTATATGGTATAATATAGAGTAAGAAACGCTCTTTTAAACGAGCCCACGCTTGTTGGATTGCGATCATCCAGTCCAGAGTTATTAATATTTAAATAAAAACAGATCTAACCTTCCCCCACCACTTTATTTTGGTAGATAGAGGAAAATGGCTTTAACAAAAAATATTCAAAATTTACTGAAGATTAAGAAGCTATTATTTATAGTACACCTTATCTAGGCGAAATTGTGTAAAAACTCCATTTTCTTATTTTTTGTTGCAGTTGCGCCCCCTAGCGGTCGTTCTACAAATTTGAAAATAATTTCCAGCAATTTCCCATAGCCTCTTTAGTCAAAATATTTTTTTCCGCAGCCCCTACGGCTAATACTTTCCGAGATACAGCCGAGAGCTATTCTTAGTGGGACACCCGGTACATAGTAGTTTAGCCATAAATAATTATTAGTCTTATCTTTGCAGGTTTTAAAGCGAATATTCCAGATGATTTCAACTATACTAATTCTAGTTTTTGCCACCATAATATACGTTTTTTTAAGCGTAAAGTAACTTTTTATATGTAATTTAATTTGTAACGTATGATCGAAAAAAACGGCGTGTCATAGACAACTTAAACGAAGATGAGATGAATGATTAAAAAACAATACCCCCCCCCCGTTTTCAGACGTACAAAATCTATTTCCAAAAATATTTTTTTTCTGGAATTTTAAACTACGCCATTTAAAAATCATTTCCACTGAATATAAAAATAAATCACAGCCTTTTTAAAGCCAACTAGCAGTAAGCACAAGAGTACGGACCAAGTAAATAACATCTAGGGCTTGACCTCGCCAAATTTATCATCGATTGCCATTCCCCAGCCGTCTTTGACGCCGTTTTTTTTTCGATCGATTGGTACAAATCCTCATTCACTATGTAATTTGTCTTATTCGATTATTTAAAGCAATATTAGTCCTAAAAAAAATATACAAAGTTAAATATTCTTTATTTACCGGAGAAATAATTCCCTCTATTGTTAAAATAGTTAATAAAACTTATGGTGTGTATTTATAAAAGAGATTTTGTATATCGTTCACTTACAGACATTATAGAGGATGCAATAAAACATTTTCGACATTTATTCAGGTATTTTTTTAAGCAGTTTATACTGTGTGAGACGTACCAAAGGGTTTATTTGAACCTTACAAAAACACTTACATATGTATGTAAATTATATATTATAAATATTTATCCCATAATCTATTTTAACGTTGTATTGTTCTACTTTTTGTTATAAGTGTGCATGTGTAACGTAAACATTAGTGTTATTCTTTTTAAGTTTTTAACGGTCAAAATGGGCTCTTTCACAAAAAATAAAATACCCAATTCAAGGACAAAATCTGAAATAGAAGACTATTTTCAGTATATTTATCCAAAAAAAAATAGTTCCATAACATTGAATAATTTTTTTATAGGTCCTCAAAATTGCAATTTAATTTGAAATAATTTTAAAGCGCCAATTTATGACGCATGTAAAATACGCCCAATCACAGTGCAGAACCGTGCTCGTGCGCCAGCCAACAACTGGCAACATTGAGATTTGATTAGACCAGCACCACCTCAACTCAAGGCCAATCAACATGATATGGGCAAGGCAAATATGGCGGCGAAGGCAGCGCATTATTAAATTGTTTACCTTTAACCTGAAAAGCCGGTAGTGGTTTCTCGTTCCGATTGCATACCAGAAATACTTAATTATCTCTAGTTTGTTGTGCTTCTGCAACACGTTTGTTTAGTCCTTAGTGTTCAGTGCATGGTGTGATCAGAAAATTGCGATAAAATAACAGTGTAATAAAAATCCAAACCAGACATTCCGCATAGGGAACTTCAAACTTTTGTGCTTGTCGTACTCCTCTATTATTAATTATTTTAAGGTAATAACTAGAAGTATTTATCAAGATATTACACCTAAATGAGTAAAAAGCCTTCACCGCCAGTCTGCATAGTACTTTATAATGGTTACTTACAATAATCAAAAGATAGGTATTAACATTTTATTGTAGCATACCTTATACATGCTGTGTTCCAAATTGTCACGAGAATTATAGAGGGGGGCCCAAGGTTTCTGCTTTTATATTCCCCAAAAATTACGAGCTTCGTAAAAAATGGTTGACAGCTATTAAAAGAGATAATTTCATTCCTACTAGTAGTTCTCGCGGGTAAGAAGTGCATTAAATATGCCTCAAAAAGGCCAAAGGCCCCAAAGCCTCTGTTACCCTAGTGAGGATGTAGTTATGGCTACTGCTTACACTTACCTCACTAAAAGTAAAATATTGGAAGAATAATCAAGCTTTTTACATCAAAGAGATCACAGAAACATATTGACAACATTCACATTTGAAAATATAAATGGCCTGGATCTTTTTTTAAGTCACAATTGCCCCGCACATATGTCAGAATTTATTATTGAATCCATCTTGTTCAGAATATCCAATATTTTATTGAAGAACTATGCAAAAAAAAGGAATGACGTTATAAAAAGGTATTTAGTTTTTTTTCTATATAAAATCTTGAAAGACATATTATATTTTTTAGTTATCCTCAACCTATTATAGTTTAAATTTATTCCCATTTGTGTAATGCTGCTAAACATTAGAAAAATATTCCATATTTTTTAACCCAAGCCAGTGTAGTTTATAATTCCAAGGGTATTTACCAGGGCTTTTACTAAGACAAGTAACTTCCTATACTGTCCATAATAGTATATATTTATCAAACGCGCAGTAAATTCTAAACTATGGTAGGTAAGTGTTTGCAATTGAATATTTAGTTTATATTGCTATTTTCTGTCATATATTTCTGGTTATTTCTTTTTCCGATCATTTTGAACACCCTATATGTGCTACCTCAAGTTTGAATATTTACACACTAGTACACTACCTACCTATTTTCTGAGAAAACAGACCTTTTTATAAAAAGTAACAAACTGATGTTTTCATAAAAGTAATAATACAACAAATTCCATACTTATGTGGAGAGCTTTAGACTCCCTGTATATTAAAAAATTAGTGAAATATTACGTAATCTAACCCGACATTTATGTGAAAAATGTCTATTTGGAAATAAAACAGGTTTTAAAATACGCGCCAAATAAAGCACTTCTATCTCCGCCATATTGGAAAAGGTTCAATGGCCTTGTGTGGAGGTGGTGGTGGGTCAGCATGGTGGCCCGGCCGTGTTGCCGCTTTTCAACATGCCAGCTGTGAGGTATTAAAAATAAAGTGCGGATTTTTATTCTGGGCTTTTTTGTTTTTATTTATTTTCTTAAGAACGACTTCAAATTTTTCGAAAGTGAGATAGCAGAAAATTCTAGAATTAATTGATTTATTCAATTATGCTAATTCCAAAATATAGTGAAAGAGCCCATTGTATATAAGTATACCGGGTGCGTCTCAAAAGTGGCTCACCCCTATAACTTTTTTTCTTTTTTCACTTAAAATAGTATATAACATAAATTAGGATTAGGAAATTCAATTGTTTTTGGTAACTTCCTGTTTCCCCGGAAATTAATACAACTTTCTGACATTTTTGACAACACTCTGAATAGAATGGCATATCATATGAACTTTTCACATTTTGGCTTTAAAAAAATCGTATTTTAAATTTCAATCTGGTGTGCCATGGCTGTGTTAAAAACACTAATTTTTAATCAAGGAGCCTTGGAAAAATATATTTGACTGTTTAGTGTTTTTCGTGTCTTGTCCTGGCCGGTTAAAAGATGTCCAAATCGTATTTTTAATCATATCTAATTTTTTTCAAATGGAACAAGAATGGCTCATTAGCATATTTGGATAAAGCATTATTTTATGAATAATTTGTTACCACACACTTGGTATTTCGAGTCAAATTGTCGTAATAAACCATATGCGAAAATGTCAAAATTTGACATATGATATGTCATTCTATTCAGAGTGCCACTTTCACCTTTTGGGGGGCACCCAGAGTAGGAGGCCTTAATTTTTTTGACCATTTTTTGTACTTTTCTTCAATGACTTTTCTAAATGTAATAATTATGAGAATGTAATAAACCAAAAATATAAAGCGATAAAAAATCTCATCTATTATTTCAAAATAATACGCATTATTTAATATTAATAAAAGTTCGATTAATAAAAATTCATTAACCACACAATATCTTTGTTTATGTACCTGCAGTAAATAAAAACAAACGATTATTATATTATTTATATTAAATAAAAATAAGATAAAATTAGTATTATTTTCTATCAATAAATTAAATAAATAATTAGTAGTTATAAATATCCTAATTCTGGCAGAGATGATGAGCGATATATTATTTTTTATCAAGTAGATATTAATGGATTTCCGAATTGAAAATACCAACTGTCAAGTGACATTGGTGCCGGATATTTCGATTGATTTCTATGATGGATGAGGATGTTTTCAGTTTTATTTATTCTGAATGACGACAAATATTCTGCTATTAATACAGAGTGTTTCAATTGAAAATACTGTTATTAAAAATACTTTCAAAAAAAAGCTTCATCCAAACCTCGCAATTAGTGAAATAAATTACTGGTTTCAATTAGCGCAACTTCTACTATGTTCCTTTAATTTCAATGTAAGCATTCAGAACGTCAAAATTAGTGGTAGACATTTTCAATTAGTAGGAAGAGTTATCAAGCATTTAAATTCTCCGCTAATTATACAGGGTGGCGCACCTCATTCGCCTCGGTTGATTATACGAAAACGGAGAGATGTAGAAACAAAATATTTTACGGGTATATGTGGGGAGGCAATGTGCACAATTTAAAATTATTTTGAAATATACAGGGTGTTTCAGAACTAAGATCCATACCAAAGTTATATTTTTTCTTATGGAACACCCAGTATTCTATTTTATTTTTGGATTCTTGGCCAAAAAAAGACGTTTATTATAAGGGTTAAATATGTTTAAAATCTTTGGTTTTTGAGATATTTAAAGATATTTAAATTTGCATGCTACAATAGAATAGATTATTAACACCCTGTACATTACATTTCAGAATTAATTCTTGTGCTTAGTTTAAAGGTAGAGAAATAAACTTTACTGCAAAATGTTATTGCTTCCTTAAATTTATACAGGGGTATCAAAAATTGCTGATTTATTTTACATAAAAACTTCGTTATTTCAAATACAACACCCTGTATTTTTTAAAATAAATAGAAGGAGATTCATATGCTCTTTCAAACTATATTAGGGTTTCCTATACAGTTCGTCTGCTGGATCTGTGTCTATGAAAGGAATGTGGACAAAAAACATTTAAATAAACAGCAATATATTTTATACATCGACTTGACGAGTACGTCACCGCAAATCGCTCCGCCCACTCATTTTATTGGCTACTTGCAAATTTGTCAAATTTTTATTGATGGGACGCGTTGTCTAATTTTTTACGAAAAACATCGAGAGAATATCGTTTCCCCTCTCACGGATACCCCGTAGCCACAGAACGGACAGACGTACTGTACCTATCTAGCTCAGATTTTGAATTAAAAGCGATTTTTAAATAAAATTGCAATCAAGGTGGCTGGTGTCGCCGTAGCAATTTTCTAGTGACACTTAGTAATTATTTTTAAAGTCGACAATAGTTTATGAATTTAATTTAAAATTATTTAAATTTATAGCAGTTTACTTTTATTTGATTGAGCTACAATAGTTTAATAAGTAATATTTATTAAATATGTATTTATTATTCTACCAAGAAAAACGAAGAAGTAGTCTTTGATTTATTTTACAATGACTTGTCGATAAATGAATTTTCTATAAAAGAGCCAATTACGGCAAAGTCATTTTCTTCGCTTCCAATGACAGGTTTCTGCTTAATAAGTTTTTTTATAAACCACACTACCAGCTCTGCTATATAGGACAAGTAGCTTTTCAAAGGAACGCTTATCAGGAATACTCCTATTTGGATATCTTTGAGCATAAGCTCTTGAGGCCAAGAAGCAATTTTCCTCACAAAATAAAATCACTAGTAACATATCCATTCGTTCCGCCAGCAGATACTGCTTTATTTTACTTGATAAAATAGTGAATACTTACTTTGTAGATAAATTTAAGTAAACTATTATAAATTATAAATAATAATGTCCATAAACTAATGTCGACTTTAAAAATACTAACACTCACTAAAAATTGCCATGGCGACACCAGCCACCTTGATCGCAATTTTCTTTAAAAATCGCTTTTTATTCAAAATCTGAGCTAGATAGGTATAGGAAACTCTAATATAGTTTGAAAGAGCATTGGAATCTGCTTCGACTTATTTAAAAAAATACAGGGTGTTGTATTTGAAATAACGAAGTTTTTATGTAAAATACATTCTTAAAATAGATCAGCAATTTTTGATACCCCTGTATAAATTTTAGGAAGCAATAACATTTTTTCAGTAAAGTTTATTTCTCTACCTTTAAACATAGCACAAGAATTAATTCTGAAATGTAATGTACAGGGTGTTAATAATTTGTTCTATAGTTGCATGCAAATATCTTTCAATATCTCAAAAACCAAAAATTTTAAACATATTTAACCCTTATAATAAATGCCTTTTTTTCGGCCTAAGAATCCAAAAATGAAATAAAATACTGGGTGTTCCATAAGAAAACATATAACTTTGGTATGGATCTTAGTTCTGAAACACCCTGTATATTTTAAAATAATTTTAAATTGTGCACATTGCCTCCCCACATATACCCGTAAAATATTTTGTTTCTACATCTTTCCGTTTTCGTATAATCAGGCGAATGAGGTGCGCCACCCTGTATACTTCAAAATTTGCGAGAAATATCATTTTGGCCTTTGATTATCTTCCGTCAAGAGAAATTGTTTTTAGAAATCAAAAGTTAATTGTTTTATAAGCTAAATATTAGGGTTTCACTGTGGATACAACTGACTAATGCAAGCTGTTGCAAGGATATTCTATTAATTTTAATGGTGTTTTATAAACATTGTGAATGATCGTAAACTAAAAAATATAAAGTGTAATTGAAACCACGAATTTATTCCACTAATTGCGAGGTTCCGAATGGATCTTCATATTTCCTCTAAAACTTTATCACAATTAAATAAAGGCATGTTTATCAAAATATTACTTTATTTACAAATTTTACAAGAATTACATGGCAGTATATAATTTTTACAAAAATATCAAATAATAATAGTACAGCAATGATCATTATATTTACAAATAAATAACACAGCATGATTATGTACACTATATACAGAAAATAAATGTATTTTACTTTAATTTTGTAGTTTTATTACTAAAAATAAATTTAAATTCATTTAATGGCAACATTTAACTCGTTGTTTTATGCCTACAAAAATAATGTCAGCATATTATCACAACAAAATTATATCATTTAAGGTTGATTCTCACTGTACCTCCCGTTTCCGTTCCATATCCGTTCCGTATTTTTTTATTGTATTGACGCTATATATTATTATACAATTTATATCATTACGAAAGTTTTTGTATCTTTTAAAAAAGGTAATAGATTTAATTAAAAGGTGAAGGAATAAATAAATATAGTAAACGCCACGAATGTTTCGGAGTCGCTACCATGTGAACTAATCTGTTCAAGGTCACATAAAACTTAATTCCAGTGCCGTGGTGTTTCAAGTCATATATAATAATGAATATATAATCTGTTGTAATTTGTTGTTTTAACTATCAAAGTCTTGTCAAAACATATATTTGGTTATAAATATAAAAAGGAATGCCCCGTTGGTCGTACTGCAAGCACACCAATGGACTGACGCACAAAAACGAATCAATCAAAGAAACGCGATATAGTATCGTCTTTGTCAATCACGCTAACATTTTGGAATAAGTAGGAGAAGCGCAGGCAGATGATTAGACCGGGCCTTTAAAAACCTACGTCTGCGGTAAAAATTTACGTTTTTAACGTAAAAATGATAGCGCGCGTTGTCGATTCTAACTTCATCAAGCGATGAATCACTGCCAAACATTCGTGGCGTTTACATTATCAAAATGATAACAGAGCTAGTACAAATGTAAGAACTTGACAACGCTGTTTCCGATACGCTTCAGTCCGTCCGTCAAAAAAATGTATGGAAGGAAAGGATATGGAACGGAAGGGAAACGGAACGGATAGTGTGTATTGTCCTATTCATTTACATGATATGATATTTTATTTAAACGGAAGGGACACGGAAGGGAGCTGATATGGAAAGTTTAGTGAGAATAAACCTTTATTGGCCCGAAGCCCCTTTCAAGATCACATTTTTGAGGTTATAATTGGTATTAAGACGAATAATGACTTGAGCCTAGCTCGTTCGACTGTACGCATCTTTTGATAGGGGAGATTTCTGCCTGAAGAGCGCTGGGGTAGGTACCCATTGGTTCGCAGTATTTAGTTTTAGGCCTATATACTCCTATTCCTGTTTATTGTTTTCGGTATCATCAGTATCAGTATACCACGTTATGGTATAGTCTTTTACATGCTGATCAAACGTTTCTTCCTTCCAATCCTTTTTATTGCCCAATGCTACAGTGAGGTGTTTCTCAAAGAGGGAGAGAGAACCTCTCACCACTTCTCCAGCAGGGAGAGAAAAAAGGCAGGATGGAAAGCCGTCCAACACCGGGAGGCAAGTTGGGACGTATCACCAACTTTGTCGCTATGGCTGGACAAGTGAAAATGGCGGTGCTGCCAAAGGATTTCTCAGAGGTTGCTCTGACCATCGACCAGCAAACGTCTCTAGAAGAAGCTATACTGGACGAAGTAGTGGCGATCGGATGTCAGCTGCGTTTTGCGGGGATACCCTTTCGGGTGGGCATGATCCTCATAGTTTGTGTATCTCAAGAATCGGCGAATTGGTTGGTGGAAATCGCACCTAAGCTTACAAATTGGCAAGGGCCGGAACTGGTTACAGTGAAGGGAGAAAACATCCCTAAAGAGGCGCCATCACGGTCTTTCTGCAAAGGAGCAAGGGAAAAGACACCACCTACCTGCTGAGCCCTATCCAGGGTCAGAATTTCAATGTAAGGACATCGAGTTGGCGAGTCATCAACTCGAGGGAGGAGGGTCAAGGTCAGGTCCTCACAATAGGAATTCTAGACCTCAAATCCAAGGAGGCAATAGAGAAAGAGGGACGTATCCTCTATTATAGATACGGGACAACACCGGTATCAGGTCTAAGGAGCGACCAAGTTTAAGTGGTGGAGAAAATGGAGACAGATCCTCCAGCCTCCACCTCACGGGTTCCTCAGCCGGAGGCAAGCTCCTCGACTGTGAAAGGCGGCACGGAGGGCCAAACTCCAACCGTGAAAGGGTGTGTACCCTCGGAGGAAGAACTGTTTTCAGAGGAGGATGGGAAATACCCTGTCCCCTCTACAACAGGGTTATGATGGGTTATAGACTGTGTGATGACTCAAGGAAGGGGGGCACAATAAATCTTTAAGGTCCCAGTGATTAACCCCCCCCCCTCTTACTCATTCTACATTCTACATTCTCAAAGTTGTACATTCTTAGTATGTTATCCACTGGGAGTTGGAGAAGTGGAATTTTCTTTTTGAGGGTGTTCCAAGCCCCTGACCTGAAAATTCTCTCAGTAAACTGTCAAAGACCATTCTAATCATTGTGTTAGGCCTAGGATGACTTCCATGTTGTTGGGGATGTTCTCATGGCACCTGTGATGCAGATGCATGTCAGGCTCTGTACTTTGCACAGGTTTTGCCTTGCTGTGCGTTGCTCTAGTTTTGTATACCAAGCTCAAATTACAATGCAATTACAAGCAAATTACAATGCTCGGCTCAAGTCAATATGCGCTTTTACAATTCGACACAATTTTTTTATCGATAATAATAATAATAATGACTTATTGCGTGAATAAATATAACAACGTAATAATACTAATATTTACGTTTCCCCTCGGATGTTTCTTCTCTTCTTCCATTGATGTTTCTTTTTATGATGTTTGCATCTCTAAATGTACAATTTATATTGTATTTTTGTGAACGCGGGACATAGGAAATCCCATGTTAATTTTGAAAAGGTTAAATATTATCTCTCCACATGATTTTATGCAAAAGTTGTATTAGACTTTTTTGAAGTTGTATTTTTATGTAAAATTTCGTTTCATCTGGAATAGTAATTTAAAAGGTATTTCCAAAAATTTACCTTCAAATTAGTTAAATTTTATAATACGGTCCAGAGTCACATTTTGTTTACAAAAATTTGAAGGTACCAAACAGAGTAATTTTGTATAAAATAATTATGAATTTCGCAACTTCTGAAAAAGTTACGATGGTTAAACGGCATTTTGCTGGAAATAGTATTCCCTCTGTGTTAGCGGTTTAGATGCCTATTCCAAATAAAACGAAATTCTAGACGACGGACGCGACGCAAAGGTACAATTTTAACACCTCTTCAAAAATGTCTAATATTCATTCTTAATTCATTTTTTTTTCAGTTTGTTTATATTTTCAGTCCGTAGATTAGATATTTTCAGTCTATTTATTACTTGGAAACAAAAGTAATTAAGAAAAAAAAAGGTATGTAGTAATCAGTTCTTATCGCAATTTTCGGGAGGCTCTCATGGTAGTTTGGTTGAAGAAATAATGGGCTTTAAGAAGAATCCAGCTCTCATCTGCTTCTCTTTGCGGGGGTGAAATTACGAATGGAACTTCTTCCAGAGTTTTTTTTGTAGGCGCAGCAACAAGCGGATGGTATCCTGAAGGTATCCGGGATCGGCATTCCGTCTCCGCTGACTGATAACAATCGCCTGAAGAAAAAGAAACAATCAGCAAATCCACAATTTTGTCATTCAACTATAAAAGTGATACTTTGAATAAAAATACTAGGAAAAGAAGGAGTATAATGCTAGTTTTTCAATAGTTTTTATTTACGTTGTGAATAAATGTTGGTAGTTATTAAAGTTGTTATAAAAATTGATAATTCTAATAAAAATAGGTAAGTTATAATAATTATTTATTAACACAAACATTCGATACGCTACTGAAGCAGGTAAGTCAAATTGACGTATCTAAATTCTTCGACATCTAATCTTTGACAAGTGGTAAATAAAAGCAAAAATGCAAGAAAAAATATATAATTAGTTAATTTTAAGTAAATTTCATAAATGATCAGTTTACTACACGTATGTATATTATACAGGGTTGTTCACCACATACGACACGGAGTATTGTAGCTAAACGATTAGATTTTTACAAATTGTAAGTTTTGGGTTCGTTGAAGGACTATTAGAGCTACAATTTAAAAATATTTTTGCAAGATACAGAGTGTCCCAAATAAAAAAAAAAATATATCAAAGTTGTATTTTTTTTAAATGGAACACCTTGTATATTATTACATTTTTAGTTTCTACAATTAAAATAAAGATAAATTTGATTAAGGTTTATTACACTTAAACCTTACAGTTTCTGAAATATTTTTAATTTTGTGAAATTGCAGCAAAAATTTTAAGGCTTTATTTTTCCATGGGTATCAAAGTTTTTAATACTAAATATTTACTGAAGTTTATTTATTGATCAGTTATTGTGTGTCAATGTGACAATTCAATTTTGCATCTGACTTTCATAAAATATACAGGGTGTTCCATTTAAATTAAAAAAGTTATTGCCGTTTAAAGCTAGTAATTATTTAAAATAAATTTTTAAACACTCTGTATAAGTTAGTATAATTTTTATTATTGTAACACAATAACTAATCAATACGTAAACTTCAGTAAATATTTAGTATTAAAAACTTTAATACCCTTGGAGAAATGAAGCCTTAAAATTTTTACTGCAATTTCACAAAATTGAAAATATTTCAAAAAACAGTAAGGTTTAAGTGTAATAAACCTTAATCAAATTTACCTTTATTTTAATTGTAGAAACTAAAAATGTAATAATATACAGGGTGTTCCATTAAAAAAAATACAAATTTTATATTTTTTATTTATTTGGGACACTCTGTATCTGTAAAAATATTTTTAAATTGTAGCTCTAATCTTCAACGAACCCAAAACTTACAATTTGTAAAAATCTAATCGTTTAGCTACAATACTCCGTGTCGTATGTGGTGAACAACCCTGTATAGTCTGTCCAACGAGATAATAGGTTATAATGACAGTTGTGTCTTTGGTTGTGTGTGGTGTGTATCATTTTAATTCACATATATATTGTATTTTCTGTCATTTTCTGGATATCGTCTGTCAACATTTTTCCCGCCTTCTTGGACAGACTTTACATTAAGTGTACCTAAATAAAAAGAGAAGGAATACCTATAAATGTATTTCTGCTTACAATACGTACGGTAACCAAACAAATTCAATGGATTCTGACCGGGAATATCGCATCCAAGGCCAAAGCTGGGAATAAAAAAAACATATTAAAAAAATATAACAAAATACCGTATGATCGAAAAAAAACGGCGTCCAGTTGGCTTGGAAATGACGATCGATGACATTTCCCATATAATTTTACATATAAAATGACAGCGATCTTCATTTCATAGCCATCGTTGACGCCGTTTTTATTCGATCATACGGTACCACATACAGGGTTATTACTAGTAGATATTATTAGTCGTGCGAGGCTGTCGAATATCGTTGTCATTATTGAAGATATAAAAAATGTTTTATACAGATATGTTGAACGGTTTATAAAAAGCAATGTCCTAAACATATTTGGTCGTATACAGGGTATCCCAAAAAAAGTTTTGATAGAGTTTTAAGTTTTTTTTTTAATTCAGACCTTGCAGTCGAACGTTGTTCTTTTTAGAACCTTTTTTAGTGCGAAGTGTACAAGATAGCTTATAATTTAGAATAGAAGTGTACAAGATAGGTATTTATAATTTTTTTTGTTTCCTAAAATATTTTTATTAAAAGAAAATATGTAAACGTGGGCAACGCTGTGCTGGTCAGGCTTAATCACGTGACTAAAAGTTTATTTGATATGAAATATATTTCCATTCTCTTTCAGGGGCGAAATAACCAGATTTTCTCGAACCCGCCACATAGGTATAGAAATGATTTCATATATATGTAGTTAATAAAAACACTTACTTTTTGCATTGTTCAATGCGAACTCCTTGTCTGAAATCCCGATCATCCTGATTGATGATATATTTCCATTGGTTGTTTCTGTTGAGTCCTTGTTTCGGAAAGATTGTTGTACTGGTAGCCCGACACATGTAAATGTCGTCATCAACTTCACCTATCCTATTTGACACTTCTGGACTCTAAAACCAAATAAAGCTTTTTTATTCATAACCATAAAATAACGAATGAAGCGTTTAAACGGCCTCCACACTATGCGGAGAACTCTTCGAAGCAGGTCAAGTTCGCATTTCGTCGCCCAACTTTGTCGCATTTCGATTTTTTTTCAGTTGTCTTGACTAGTGATGTTGGTAGCGAATATTTCCATTCGAATTTGGCAGGAAATTACAGAAATTTCCGAAATATTCGGTCCCAAAATCGCGAATATTTGCAAAAATCCGAATTTTGCAAGAAATTTCTTTTCAAAATTCAAGACATAGATTAAAAATTGAACGAAAGGGTATCAAGTATGTCTATTCTTAAATCAGAAGAAAAAGAATGCTTCTCCGCCTTACAAAATAGAAAACGTATGGCTCTTAAACCAATGCATTTTGCCTCGAATCTCTTGGACCCCTCTGTTTCCTGGGAGAGCAACTTAACAATGAAGGACACATAGCCGCTATGGAATTTATCAACAATAACACCAACAAACTTCCTCAGTTTGTCAATAATAAAGAATCCATTTTTACAGATGTAAAACAAATTATTGCGCCAAACCGGGTTTATGGGCTCTCGACTACGTTTGGATGTCAGTTAAAAATATAGACTGTCTAAGTTGGTGGCAAGTAATGTGTAAAAATACTCAGTGGAAATATTTAGCTGTTGCTCTGCTGTCTTTACCAACGTCATCTGCAGCCACTGAGAGAAGGTTCAGCACTTAGTTTTATCCATACTAAAAAAAGAAATCGAGCCGGCAAAATAATGTTCGTAGCCCATAAGAATAAATTATTACTACAAAAACAAAAAGTGGATATGGAGCATGATATTCAACAACATGAAACTCCTCCGGAATCACTAGAACCCGTAGAGGTAAAAGTCCATCCTTCAGAATCAGAACCACATGATACATTAAATATATCTTATTTGGAAATAGAAACTGACGAAGACAGTACTACTACTACTATAATACCCTAATAACGAAGATGGGACCAGCTCGGCGCCTGAAAGTATTCCGGAATAGAATAATTCAGTTATTTGTGTTTTACGTTTTTTAAATTTATATTTCGTACTTTTTTGTTTTTTTTTTTAATTCATACATTTCATTCATTCGTGTTATATTTATGACTTTTATGAGTTATGTATTGTTTATTAAAAATATAACAACTAATATTTTGTTTATTGTTTTTTTTTCCACTTACATGTTGGTATCAAATGTCTATCTATTTTATTCGTTTATTGTATCAACAAAAAATATGTAAAATTGTAAAATTTCCTAAAATTTCATAAATGTCCGAAAGTTTCGGAAATTTCCTGCAACAATCAAAAATTTCTGAAATATTAACATCACTAGTCTTGACCCACTTCGGTTTGCCTCGACCTACTTTCGATTCTTAAAAGCGCCCGAAAACTATTCGTAAGGAGGGCGTGGGGGGGGATTTTTTTACCGTTTTCTGTTGCCTCGTTCAATTTTATTTCGTTTTGAGCTATTTCGAAAACGCGGCGGTATCTGTACCCGAGGCAAAGGACTTTTTTTCATAAATCTCAGTGAAATAAGTAAACCTACACGTTTCTAAAATAGCTGTTGTTACGATGATATTGCGATAATTACATCTCGTTTTATATTGATATACAGGGTGCTACAAATTCGAGGTACCAGCATTGGTAACTCGGTAACCCTAATAGATACGAACATGGTTAAATTGGGGCAAAGTTGCGCTTTGGGATGTTCATCAATATGCCATCAAAAAAGTTTTAAAAATTTCAAGGATTGCTGAGTTTTTTTGAAAAAACGGATATTTTTGAAAATCAATTTTATTTTTTCCTATCGATACTTTTTAGAAAATCAAAAAACTAACTGCATATTCTTATAGCCGCTTTCAATTTTCCTTATTCAATGTTAATTAGCAGTGATCAATATTGTTGCGATGAATATAATCAGATTAAATAATTTAAAAAACAGAGTCGGACTTGAAATTTTTTTAAATAATAATTAAATAGTTTTGTTGTTGTTAAGGTACCAAAAACAAAAAAAAAGTATAAAGTGTGGCATATCATTGTGCTCAGGAGACTGAATTCTTTCAAAATCTGAAATAAAAAATGCAGGTCCGTATTTAAAAAAATTAAGTTGGCCTCTGTATCTCACAAATTATCAGTTAATTTGAAAATATAAAAATACTATCAGATAGCCCTAATAAAGTGGCTATGAGAATGTGCAATTTGTTTTTTGATTTTCTAAAAAGTAACGACAGGAAAAAATAAAATTAATTTTCAAAAAAATCCGTTTTTTTCCAAAAAACTCAGCAATCCTTGAAATTTTTAAGACTTTTTTGATGGCATCTTGGTGAACAGCCCAAGGCGCAACTTTGCCCCAATATAAGTATGTATTACGGTTTCCGAGATACCAATGCTAGTACCTCGAATTTGTAGCACCCTGTAGATTAATATTTGAACATGCGTTTAGAGAGTAGATATTTAAGAACAAAATTTTTCACTCACTCTGCAGGAATATAATTACAACCCAAACAGCATTTGGACGTCGGGACAACGTTGTGTCACGCGACCAAACGTCGGGGCGCAACGTCGGCACAACCTCGAGCCAACCCTAGTCTGCACTAGTTTGGAGAATAATTTTTGGGTCGAAACGACATTGGATACTGACGTTGGCTAGAAGCCTAATTTAGTACAAACTGCAACGTTGTTTAAAATCCTAATTTACAGAAATACAAAACTAATATGGCGTCTAAGTCGCGTTTATCCTAAATTGGGATAATTATAGTAAAAATATTATTTTTATGATTTAGTTAGAGACATATGTCAGATGACAGTGAAGGAAAACAAAACAAAAGTATTTAAGTGTGGAGGATGTTTGAAGATCATAATTATTGAAACACTTTAACCGACTCTGTAACTCGTTACCCAAGGCAAAAAAGTTAAACGCAAACAACTTTATTGATAAATGTATTGTTTCTACTTTGAAAAATACTAATGGGCCTTAAAATTAAAGAAGTTTTAAAAATTTTCTTGAATTTTTTTAGTAAAATGAGAATAATTTATTCGCAGTCGAAAAAATTGTTTCCGCGTGTTTTTTAGGGTCAAATATTTCAAGTTAATGTATTCAAAAAGCAGGAATTGCTATTTTAGGAACAAAACATTTTCTTATTTAACAACATGGCGGCTTTCGCTTTGTTGTTTTGGAGATTAAGATGGAGTAGTTCGAGTAGTCGCATACTGGACTAATAAAGTCGCAGTTCGGCCTTAACAGGTAGTATACTAGTCGCAAAATTGCCTAATTTAGTCATCCTAGAGTCTAGCTTGTGCCGCCCTCTATAATCTAAATAAATGAGGAAGTGGATAAACTATCGGTAATATATGTAGATGTATATTTAAATTTAGTTTTATATGTACCTTTCTTATGTCCCATTTTAATTAAGTTTTTTTTTATAAAAACAAAAACAACACTGAACTGTCTGACTGAACAGAACAATGAAGTGAAAATTTAAGATTTATGGTTATGGTTCAATACAGTTGTAACTACGTTGTCCGAATCACCTAAAGATCACTTAAGCAAAAAAGGTTACAAGACAACGTTTATTCGACGTCGCAGAAGCTTCTACTTTGCTGTAGTCCAACGTCGGCACAACGTTATAAAAACGTTTAAATTTATTTTAATGCCAAAGGTAGGGAGCTAACTATTTTTTGTAACTAATCCAACGTTGTGTTTAGTAAACATGTGGTCGCAAGTCGTGAAAATGCTACTTGGGAACATGTTTATTATTTGGTTTTATTATAATGAATTAGTATATAAAGTTGTGTAAAATGTAACAAAACTCACCTCATCTTCACCAAACAGTTCCTTGTAGATCGTATTCCGAGTTAACACTATCTTTAAATGTTCATGGGGGTATGATACCGCGTATTCACACAGCGGCATTTGTTCTGTGCAATTGGACATAATATCGTCTCTAGATATGGAACCGGTCTTAGGTTTCGATTTGGTCAGGTCTTCGGGAAATACAATATTGGTGTTGTCAACGATTGCTAAAAAACATAGTCTAATTAAAATTTTATTTACGAGTACAGGGTGGGTCAAATTCGACGCTTTTAAATGGAAACACCCTTTTCTATAGGAGATAGACGAAAACTAATATCGGTGTCTGGAGCTCAATTTTTATCAAAAACATGATGGTGAAAACCGCACATCAATATCTGTTACCGTTTCGGAGTTACGGGGTGTTTTTCAAAAATGAGCATTTTTAACAAATCACTGTAACTTTTTGCTATGGAAAATTTTGTATTTCTATGAAAACATATCCAAAGCAACTTTTTACGTAGAATTTAATGGTTTAAGTATAATTTTTTTAAAATTAATAATTTAAGAGTTATGATTTTTTATTTGGGACACCCTCTATATTTTTAATTATCTGAAAAGAATTTAAAATTACCTTTCCAAAAATATAGCACACTTGATATTTTGTTAAATCCCCTTCGAAATACAGAATTTTTATAAGTTCGCCACTTTTAACTAGTAGGCTTTGGACCACTTATTGATGATATGTCCTTAATGGAATTCGAAAACATATTTTTTCCAGCAAAACGACGCACCGCCTCTGAACGCTGAAGTTATCAGCAAATTTTTTGCAGCCAATTTCAAGAATAATTGGATAGCTAACCAAGATCCCAGCCGTTGGCCGTCGAGGCCGCCTGACTTAGTGCCCATGGATCTAATCCTATGGATATATTTGCGGAAGAATAAAGGTTCCTTATTTTTCCGTATAATCTAGACAAGAATTAAAAATACTTAGCAGTTATAAGAGGGTATCTTTCACCCCTACTGAGTTAATGAACTCCGCAAGAAATGTTCAAAAACTGCCCCGTATGTCCATAACAGAAGACGGTCGATATGCTACAGGTGGCAAAATCTCATGTCTTGGTTTGCTATTTATTTTTATTGTTATTACATATAGTTTAAATGTGTTGATGTTGGTTAAATATATTTTAAATTGTTATAAAATTCTGCATCTCTCATAGCAAATAATATTTTCACTTATAATATCACAAGAGCTTAAATTATTTTCGGAAATTTTTTTGAGGGCACGAATATTTTGAAAATTATCCCGAGTCGAAGACGAGGGATAATTTTCCTAAAATATTCGTGCCCGAAAGAAAATTTCCAGGAATAATTTAAGCTTGCGTGGTATTCGGTAAGAAAATTTCACACCTAAATTTGAAAAAAAAATATTAATCCAACATGACATTTTAAAATAATTTCAATTTGTTAAGTTGGCCAAGGTATTGATGTTTTTGACATATTATCTGTTTTGTCATTTTTGTTTGCGATTCTGTCATTAAGCTATTACTAGTTTTAAAACGTCTGTACGTAGAGTAAGAAGTGTATAGCGAAATGTCGCGATTTGGAAAAGTAAACCAACAAGTCATTAAAGAAGAAATTGAAAATATAAAACCAGATAACACCCGAAAATCAAAATCAAGTGTATGGAAACAGTTTGTTGAATTTTGTGATGAAAAGTCGTATAATATTCATGAGTGTATGAGTGAAGTACAGCTGGCTACTATACTGGAGGACTACGCATTTAATATGAAAAAGAAAAATTTGTAGTTCATTGTAGTTCATTCACATTATGATTGTAGATCTTATGTTTACCTTTTCAACTGTCAAAAAATTTCCACTGAAGTTTCGTGGCGCCTCGAAAAAATTTCCGGAAATTTTTTTAGTTGCCATGGTAACTAGTCAACATTAAAGCATGTTATTGGTTGAAAAGTAGAGGTGTGAAATTTTCGTTTTAATTGATGTTCACAGCTAGAATTTTTTGCATTACAGCCGGTGCCGTTCAAAGCCTACTTATTTAAAGCGGGCGAATTTTTATCTACTCTATATCTCGAAGAGTAATCGAGGAAAATATCAAGTGTGTTATATCTTTGGAAAGGTAATTTTAAATTCTTTTCAATAAATTAAAAATATACAGGGTGTCCCATATAAAAAATCAAATATTCTGTAGATAATTCTTAAATTATTAATTTTAAAAAAATTATACTTAAACCATTAAATTCTACGTAAAAAGGTGCTTTGGAAATGTTTTCATAAAAATACAAAATTTTCCATAGCAAAAAAGTTACAGCGATTTCTTAAAAATGCATATTTTTGAAAAATACCCCGTAACTCCGAAACGGTAACAGATATCGATATGCGGTTTTCACCATCGTGTTTTTGACAAAAATTGAGCTCCAGACACCGATATTAGTTTTTGTCTATATATCTCCTATAGAAAAGGGTGTATCCATTTAAAAGCGTCGAATTTGACCCAACCTGTACATATAAACAGTAGCACTGGAAAAATAAAACCCTAATTCACTACAATACACGAAAAAACATTTTACTTTCGCACGGTTTCTTTACTGTTTGATAGAGAGTTATCCCGTGGATTAACAACAATAATTATTAGGTAATCCTGAATCTTAATTTACCTTCTCTTGGGGGATTTGTCAAAATTCTAGTTTTATTTCTAGGTTCGTCCATGAAAATAATTGGGGGACGAGCTAATGATATGTCCAGCTGAAAAAAAGAAATAAAATGTCATTAGTTAAAGCGTTCCAGATATTTGTTTCTTATTTTCAAATTTTTATTCAATTTTGATCTGTATCATTTCTATAAAACAAACAATATTTGAAGGCGATTGTGTGGTTTCGTTGGTTAAGTTTTTGTACACGATGAGCATATTAACTCAATTGCAAAATGAACAATAATTAATTTATTTTTTTTTATTATGTAATATGTGAACTGCTATCTATACCGGGTGCGTCTCAAAAGTGACTCATCCCTATAACTTTTTTATTTTTTCAACCAAACAGAATTGTTGGTTAGGTTCAAAATGTTTTTTCTTCTTAAATAAATTTAAGCGTTAACATTATTAGGCATTTGCATAAAATTGTGAATTTTGGGTTTTGGGTGCACACACAATTTGTTATTTTGTAGTTTTTGCACAAAATTCATTGTAAAATTGACACAAGTAGCATATTCTTTAGATAATTTTGAATCAAAATGTAAGACATATTTTTTTCTGTTTCTTATATATTTCTAAGTAGACTTTTTATTCGATTTTGTGTTCGGGAAAATACAATTTAAAATAAAAAGCATTCATTCCATGAATATGTTAATGACGCTCTAACTTTGCATAATGATGATATAAAGAAAATCGATAAAAATTGAGTTTCATTTCGAGGACAGAAAATTTCGTAAAATTACTTATTATAATGTATGACATTTAAAAACCAAAAAAAGATTTTACATATTCTTCTTAAAGAATGAAAAAATTTTCTAAATATTTTTTTTTAAAAAACATTTAGAAAATAGATAATCTATACTAATATATAAAATCCTTAAGTGACTGACATACTGATTAATCACGATCCTGCTCAAACCACTCAACGTAAAAAGCTCAATTTTGGCATACAGGTTGATTCTAATGTGTAGAGGTTCGATAAGAAGGGATTTTTCGAAATTCCAGTTCCAAGAGGGTGAAACCACCCCTCAAATATTACAATATTTTTATTTAAAAAACGGTCAAGTTTCCGAAAAAACACTTAAACACGTTTTTTTTACATATTTTAAGATTTTTTAAAAATGTATAGAGTGTTTCAAAAAATCTGGTCATTGATTAATCACGATCCTGCTTAAAGCGCTTGACGTAAAAAGCTGATTTTTGGAAAACAGATTGACTTTAGGGTGCAGAGGTTCGATTAGAAGGGATTTTTCGAAACTCGAATTCTAAGGGGGTGAAACTAATCCCTCAAATGTTAAAATATTTTTTATTTAAAAACCGGTGAGTTTTTCGGAAAAATTCTTAAACACGTATATTTTGTTTTGTTGTTTTACATATTTTAAGATTTTTTATATATTTAAACAGGGTGTTTCATAAAATATGACCATTGAGTAATCACGATTCTGCTTAAACTGCTTGACGTTTAAAGCTGATTTTTGGCAAACGGATTGACTGTGGGGTGTAGAGGTTCGATAAGGAGGGGTTTCTCGAACCTCAAATTCCAAGAGGGTGAAAACGCCTCTCAAATATTACAAAATTTGTTATTTAAAAAACGGTTAGTCTTTCGGGAAAACGCTTGGACAAGCATAATTTATTTGGTTTTTTTAAATATTTTGAAATTTTTTAAAAAATCATTCAGGGTGTTCCAAAAAGTTGGGTAATTTCTTAACCACGATTCTGCTTAAACCGCTTGACGTAAAAAGTTTATTTTTGGCAAACGGATTTTTCGAAAGTCAAATTCCAACGAGATGAAACTACCCCTCAAATATTACCAAGTTATATAATAATATCGCCATATTGTTTTTTCTCATGCTGTCATAAATGTGAGAAAATTTTATCCAGTTTGTATGTTAATGGAAATTCTTGCTTTGCTTTATCATTACCATTACAAATGATTAATTCGACGCGAACGAAGTCGCTATGTCGTCAATATGTTGTTAATATCAATATGCTGTCGTCAATCACAGAAGTTAAGCGATGCTAGATGATGTGGGTATTTGAATGGGTGAACGTTTGAAAAACCCCGTCTTGCTGTTGTTCAAGGCAAGTCTGAAAACTCTATGGAGACATTTGACGATTAGTGTACGTAATAATAGTTATTTATGGTACTAGTGTATTATCTTACATGTAAGTCACGCTGGGAAATTTCTCAAGTGACTTATATGCATAACACGCGAGCGCGCGAGTGCCATACAAAATTTTATCCAACAGTAGAACTGTTTCATGTCCAATCTCTAAAGAATAATTGATTTAAAAGGATCTACCAGTTCTACTTTCATTGTTGCGAATTAATAAAATATCAGGGTGCGTTTATGTTACTATGCAATATAGATGTGTGTTTTGTTTTTTTGTAAATAATAAATAGCACTGACTTTAGGACGTCATTTAGATAAATCGCGATTTTTTAACGATAAAAGAGTGAATTATCAACCAGCAAGTCCGATTTTAAAGGAAAATGATTCAGGAAGATCTTCCGCAAGAAATTATTAACCAGGCAGAGGCGGCTACAGCACAAATATTGCCAGAAAAGTATCGTGGCGTATATGTATATGATAGGGAATTCAAGGCATTTTAGACCGAGAGCTGGCTACATAAAAAACCTTATCATCGTTACGTGGCTAATTTTTCTTGTGAAGTCTCCTTATGTGTAACCATTATGAAATAGTCATGTCTGCCAGCGCGATCCCGGGGCTTAAAGCGGGGGCGGCCAATAGAAAGGGTGAAATTTTGACACTAAAATTATTATAAGGTACACTAGTTATAATTGCCAGAGAGCTTTTATTTGTTATTAAGAAACGTGGAAAATTGTTGGCAGACATTTTTCTCGTGGCTAAAATACCGGCAGACAACGCGAAAGAGGCATGAAATTTTAACAAAAAAAAAAATAATCGCATACATGCATGCCGATTGGTGGAATGTCATATTTATTTACTTAAAAAGCCGTCTACAAAAGGGCAGATGAAAAAAATCGTGGCTCAATCCAAGGACTGTATATATTCTAAAGGACTGTTCGATCGCGTCAAATCGCCGCTGTCGTAGTCGCCGTGGAATGCTACGTCACGCGCTGACCAGCGCTCCACAGTGCGGCGGATGGTTATTCTAGCGGGACAAAATCTCAAGAGCAATGTTTAGGAGGGTCCACATTTAGTAACATGTTATATAACATTGCTATTTAACAAGCTACATGTAACATGTTAAAAACCGGGGGCCGTCCACATTATAGTTTTCGTAGTCATGAATCGTTTTGGCGAGAAATAGGTTCAGCTCGCAGCAGCGGCGTGCGTAATTATTTTTTGAACTAAGGGAAGAAAGAAAGTCGAAAAAAGCGGTTTTGAGTCCGCCATAGCCTACCAGTAAGATCTAGATACAGTTGAACTCAATTAGCTTATCTTTTCAATACTTGCCTCGGCTGTTTCTCGTGGTGTCGTCTGTCTTTTAAAAACATTAATAATTTACAGTACGTCTAGTCTCCTGGATCTGTGTCTATGAAAGGAATGCGGACAAAAAACATTTAAATAAACAGCAATATATTCTATACGTCGATTTGACGAGTGCGTCACCGCAAATCGCTCCGCCTACTCATTTTATTGGCTACTTGCAAATTTGTCGAATTTTTATTGATGGGACGCGTTGTCTATTTTACGAAAACATCGAGAGAATATCGTTTCCTCTCACGGATACCCTGTAGCTACAGAACGGACAGACGTACTGTAAAAGCAAAAGCAAACCATTTTGAATTATCTACTTCATCTAAACCATGCAGTTCCTGATTTGCATTTCTTTGTTCCCGCTGGAACTGGCCTATTAGATTACGCATTATTTCTCAACTTTTTCTGTTTCCAAATACATACTATGAAAATGAAAATCGCTGTCATTTTATATGGAAAACTATATGGGAATGTCATCGATCGTCATGTCCAAGCCAACTGGACGGGAGGCCGACGGACGCAGTTTTTTTTCGATCATACGGTATTATTGACCAGTAAATAAACAAACCCAAGAACAGTTAACCTAAACAAACCAATATCAGCTCACCACACTAAGATTCTGTCGCGCACATCCCTGAAAATATGAGCGGCTAAACTAGAAATTTAGCAAGTGTGGACGCATTGTTTCATGTTACAATAGCAATGTTGCACAACATCTTTTGATCTTTACCGACTACAAATGGATAACATCTAGCAAGTTATATAGCATCGAAATTTGCTAAATATAACTAAAAAATATGTAACATGTTATATAACTTTGCTATATAGCAGTATTATATAGCAAGTGTGGACCGTCCTTTAGGGACTTAAAATCTAAGAACGTAGCAAATGGTCTAATATATAGCAACTATATGGTTAAATTTATTTATTTATTAACAACTTAATTTATTAATAAATAAATACAAGATAATAAAACTATGATATTATTCGTACATGACACACAAAAACCGTATTGTAAACTATTGCCAAATACATAAAAATATGATATCAAAAAAACTCTTTAGCAGTTTTTTTAATTAATTTGTAATCTTGTGACACCCTCTATAATTTAGCAAATAGGTAGATATTTTAATTTTAATTTTAACACTCGGTAATTGTAAATTCATATCTAAGACAATTTTTTAAACTCAGTGCCTTTTGATGGAGTTGTTTTGTTTTTATACTATCCGATTGAAATGAATCTTTTTGGGCATTCACCTGTTAAGCTTGAACTCCCTGTGACTGTGACTACCTGTGTTGGTAACTATTAGTAACTCAAAAGATCTACATCATTCAATATATCGATATTTGAAAAAAAAAGTGAAAGTTTGATATCTGCAGAACAAAGGCACGAAGGATTTTAACAAATAATATACGTACAGTAGAAAAGTACATACCTTTGGCAATCTTCAACATAATTTGGCTTTCTAATAAAATGTATAAGCACTTGTAAATATTTTGTTTTCGTATGATCTCTGCCTTGCTGAGCAGAAAACGACCAAATTTGGTTGATAAAAATGTATCGAAATACAAAGAATATTCATGCA